TTAGGGGTTCACGGTAGGGTTTCCGTTTTGGGTTTCTCTGCACCTTTGTCGCGGCGCACTTGTGCTGGCCAAGTGGACAGTCGACCACGGCTTGGGAGTCCTCGCTTGAGCCTTCGCGCCTGACCCCTTGAGCACGGACATTGATCCTCGTCGTTGGGTCACCAGTCCAAGCCGGGGATGACCCTGCTGCTGCATGAGTTGATGAAAACGCTGGAACGTCTATAATGCCGTCTTTTCACATGTGGGCTTGGGACGCACACACACACACACAGCATGCAAGCACCACATTGGCCTCGAGTTCACGGTGCTTAGCTTCCGCGTCCTCTGCACAAGTACATGTGGTAAAAAGCATCGAACACTCTGCAACTACCCAATGAGTTGACTCTTCCAAGCGGCCTCCGCAGCTCCACCGCGCAGCAGCCGGTCACGCTCACCTGCTACGTATTACCACACAGCGCCACATGCTGTCACAAGCTGCCACATGCTGCCAAGCGCTGCAGGCCGTGGTCACCCAAACAGAGTTCAAGCCAGGCTATGTTTCAGCCTTCAACCGCACCATAGATGTCTAGTTGGCCTCAAATTCCTCTGTAATTGTGCTGGGAAGCCATAAACGATCGAAGCGTTGCCCTCTCATATCAGTACTGTCCCGCAAGCGGAACCAAGGCAGGAGGACTTGTGAGAGACTGCACCTTCTGCTGTAGCCTGCATGCACCAGGGCAGGATAGGGCAGGACCTCTTTCAGAGGCAATTGCACACGACTTCTCAAAGGTCACAGAGCCTCTCCACGTCTGCACGCAGTTCTGCACGCTCGCGCTCACTTTGGGCCTCAATGGAGCAGGACTCCAGTGTGCTGCCGGTTGCCTCTCTCAGTCTCGACCTGGGTGCGTCACAATGGTGTCCCGCTGCGTAGCAACCTGCCACAGAAATGGACAGAGGTTTTTCTGGGTCCGAGCGGCAAGCATTGATGAGACCGTTTGAGAGAGGGACCCCGGAACGAAAGCGAGCGAACACACGCGAGGAGGTCCTTGGGACCCTTCTTTTGTTGCCGTCGCCATGCTTGATGCTTGGGTCGAGGGTTTCTCGAGCTGAGCGTTTGCTTATGCAAAAACTGTGAGTGCCTGAACGGGCCCAGTTCGTGCTTGTGGGCCAAAGGTGCGGGTGGGGGGGGTGAGACGGGGGTGGAGGGTGAGGTGGGGCGGGTAAGGGGGGAGAGCCTGGGTGGGGAGGGGGGGTGAAGGGGGGCGGCCCCCCTCAACACCCGCACAAAGTCATTTGTAAACCAAACACGACCGCCAGTTGGTGTTAAGGGAGCATCATGGAGCATCCACGAGCCTTGTGTCGCCACTCCGCGAGCTCCGAATGCTGGTCATCCGGTTCGGCCTGGAAAGCGTGACTCAAACATCTTTGAACAGCAAACCCTGCAGCGACGATGGGGACTTGCGTACCAGCTGCAATGTGCTTGACAACCTGGCTGACCCCCTGCATTTTTGTTCGCAAGTCACGTCTGGTTGTAGCCTTGAGTCAGCTCTACACAACTTTGAAAAGCACGATAAAGGCTTTAGTTATGTCCATCGTTTCGCGTCTGTCGTCTCTCTGCCCCAATCTGTGGTCCACACAGCCTCTTCTGCCACGTCGTCTCGACCACCTGATAGCCGGGTCATGCGAAACCACGTCAATTACAAGCTGCTTCTGTCCGACGTCCGCAGTGGAAGTGTTGCCCTCTTTTGGTCTCCCGTGAGCAACTGTAGTGCCGGGAAAGTGTGTGCAGGGGGCACTTGCATCACGAGCTCCAGTTCGGGGAGCACTGTCCAGGGCTTGCACTTCAGCTTGCAAGACTTACTGCGGGCAAGTACAGAGCTTTGGAACTGATCCAGTGGAAACTTGGGCAGGCTCACGGCGCATCTCAGCGGTACTTGATGAAGCCAATCTCTTCCGCCTTCTCGCGGAACTCCTGCTTACACATTTACACAACAAAAAGCAAACGAGTCAGCAGTCACCACCAGGCTGTGGGAAGACCGGCCTGGCGCTTCATCATGATGCCATACTTGCGGATGAGGGCCATGCCACCAGGGCGACCCGAGACGCGGGAGGAGCGGAGGCCCTTGGAGCCCGGAAGGCCCCGAACTGGTGTGGAGAAGGGATGCTTCTGTGGTTGGGCGCCGTGACCCCCACGGGGCCCTCCTCCTGTTCCTCCGACACCGCCCATCATGGCGACGTGGCCGGCTGTGAAGAAGACCTTGCAGCAGGTTTGAACGTAGAAGCTCCAGGCGAGAAGGAAGGAAAACTTGGAAGAACACTTCCGCACCCACGCGCACGCGTAACGGCACATGCATTGAATCATGCACATAGCACACGTGCGGTGAACCTGAATGGGCGCATCGCCGTTGTAGGACTCCAGGGTGTCGGCATCTTTCAACTGGCGGCTGTTGTAGATCAGGCGCATGTGCTCCGGCTCAATGTTGCACTGCTCCATCGCAAGCTTCTTGATGTCACGCACGGCGGCATCACACGGGCACTCCAGTTGAAAGCTCTTCAGCCCAGCCACCTTCCGAACACTGAACCAGCGCAAGCGTTTCTGACAACATTCAAAAGCTGCAGCAAACGCGCGCGCCTTGAACTCCACCATGACGGACTCCTTTTTGGGCTCGGGTTCCTTCAAGGGCAGGTCGCTCATGACTTCGAGGAGGGTGGCAGCCATAGCCTTATAGTCAACAAGGGCCTACACTGGGTCTGCCCTTGGCCCACGCCGCACTCGTGGCACTCAGGCCGCCACACGAAGTCACTACGTCTCTGATTGCGAAACAAGGAGAGGCTGAAATGGCAGTTGTTGGACTCACTGAAAAGGAGTCTTGGGCCGTCGGCGTCGGGTCGTTGCGCAAAGTGTAGACGCGCAAGCTATTCCACGATCGCAAGCCAACTTGCTGAGGCTTTTTTGAGCCCTAAGCCCCAAGCCCTCCACCCTAAACCCAAACCCTAAACCCTAATCCCTAAACCCTGAAAACCCTAAACCCTCATCCCTAAACCCTGTGAACCCTAAACCCTAAACCCGAAACCCTAAACCCTGAACCCTGCTGCGGCCTTGCGGTCCAGGCTGCGGTTCGGGCTGCACAGATTGTGCCGGCTGCATCCTCGGTGCTGTGCTCGCATCTTCCTACGGTTCAGGGTTTAGGGTTTAGGGTTTAGGGTTTAGGGTTTAGGGTTTAGGGTTTAGGGTTTAGGGTTTAGGGTTTAAGGTTTAGGGTTTAGGGTTGAGGGTTGAGGGTTGAGGGTTTAGGGTTTAGGGTTTAGGGCTTCATGGATTCCCCTGCTACCCTATGTTCTCCCGAAACCCTCGGCTTACAAGGGTTCAGGGAGCTTATAAGGGCCCCTCTAGACTACCCCCCTAGGTTCCGCCATAACTAAGGCTATTTAGGGATAATGAAGCCTAATTAAGGTTTCTTAAAGGGGGGAAACCCAAGGGGTAGGGGTAGTAGGACAACCGGTTTGGGGTTTAGGCCTTTGGGGGTTTAGGGTTTCTAGGGTGATGCAGGGGTACTTCTAACCCGACTGATCACTGAGCCACCTAAGTCCTCTAGGTAGGTTATGAAAAAAACGTATAACTAGGGTTATAAGCACCCATGAAACCCCAAGTACCCAGATCTGTGCGCGTGGCGTTTCTCCATCTTCTGGCGGCGTTCCAGGCTCCATCCCTCTGCTACATGTAGTGGTGTCCCAGAGAATGCTTCTGGCATCTCAATTGCTTCCTCTCTGGGCTTGGCTGCTGTGTGAGGCTGGCAAACTTCCTTCAAGAAGAGCAAAGCTCACCCTAAACCCCAAAGCCTTCGGTTTCATGGCTTCATGAGATGGCGAGCAGAATCGCGGCCGAGCACCTGCTGAGCGCAATGCAGTGACTGGGCCAGAGTGTGGGCCGAGCCCTAAGCCTTTGAGAGCAGGGTTTAGGGTTTAGGGTTTAGGGTTTAGGGTTTAGGATTTAGGGTTTAGGGTTTAGGGTTTAGGGTTTGGGGTTCCGGAACCATGTACACCTTCACCCTCACCTTGCTCGCTGTAGACAAGTTTGGACATGGCTCTGCCTTTCTGCGTTGAGGCTGCTTGGAGCGCATTGCCTCTCAGCGCCGGCTACTACGCTACGACTACTTGAAGGTTCATGGGAACTTATACATAGGGTTATAAGTAGGGTAACTGTAGTTATGACCTTGTATAGGGCACTTGTAACCCTGCTTATAAGTACCCCTGAACCTTCAAGTACTATGTACATCCGCAAGTTGCTGAAGGCAAGATGCTCTTGATCGATTGCCTGCAGAGTGTACTCACGGGCTCCAAGCATTCGCCCTACTTCAGGAGGACGCCTCACAACTCACAAAGAGCGTGGCGCTTGGCGTCAGTCCCGCCGCTTCCAAGGTTTCACTTCTGTCCTTAAGAGGCTCCAATCCCTAAACCCTAAACCCTAACCCCAAACCCCAAACCCTAAAACCTGACCCCTAAACCCAAACCCTAAACCCTAACCCCTGATAAAAAGTGTGCTATGAAGCCAAGCCCATGGGCACCAGCGGATCAAACCCACGGAACCCTAAGCCCTAGACCCTAACATCCTCTTGGAGTGTGCGGTAAAAGGAACCCGGGAGCCCTAAACCCTAAACCCTAAACCCTAAACCCTAAACGCATGTCATCCTGCAGTTGACCTTGCCTGCCGGACCTGAAATTGCGCCGTTACATCATATTGGGGTTTACCATATGGGTGGGTGGGTACCTTATTGGCCCTCATATTGACACGATTACATAAATACATCACTGCATCGCTACATCATCGCCATCCCGGCAAACATCAGATAAGATGCAGTGTACGCCTTCGGTGGAAAAGCTGTCCTGCACATGGCACCAGCGAAAGTCGTTCAGGGTTTAGGGTTTAGGGTTTGGGGTTTAGGGTTTAGGGTTTAGGGTTTAGGGTTTAGGGTTTAGGGTTTAGGGTTTAGGGTTTAGGGTTTAGGGTTTAGGGTTTAGGGTTTAGGGTCTTTTGGTACGATCATGCTTCGGGCACATGAGGCTGTATGAGGTTGCCTGAGAACACATCCCGGCCGCGCGCGAGCCACCCGGTTCTTGGAGCGCCAGTCAGCAAGGGCTTGCCTCACAAATTGAAACCCTGAACGGTTTAGGGGTTTTTAGGGTTTAGGGTTTAGGGCTTACACGACTGCAGCAATGTCAAAGTGAGGCTTCCTCACTGCTCTTTCCTTCACCAAGCTGCCACAAGTCTCCCACCGTGTCACCAAACTCCATCTTCAGAAGAACTTTCTGACCGCCTTCCAACTTCACCTGCGTTGCTTCTTCTCTTCACCGGTCGAAGGCTTCCGAGCGAGGGGCTCCCCCTTATACTAACAGTCCTTAATAGGGAATATAATGGGGGGTACTATAGTCCCAATCAAGGACTGTGAGTATAAAGGGGAACATCCCAACCCTAAACCCTAAACTAACCCTAAACCGGAAGCGTGGCAGCCTGCAAACGTGCAGCTGGCGCGCTCGAAGGGCGATCTGCCTGCAGCAGGGATACCTCCGGACCTGGGCAGCAGGGCACACAAGCTGGAGCATCCTGCGCAGGGATTCTACACACCTATACACTTTCGCAATGACCCGATAACTTTTTTTCACAAGACCAAAAAAGTTGCAAAACGTAATTGAAAATGCAACATCATATTTCTTCAAATTAAATAAACAATGTAACATCATATTTCTTTGAATTTAAAAACAATGTAACATCATGTTTCTTCATAGTGTTGCCATAAGTCCAACCTACGACCCCTTGCCACGCCAGGATGCTGGTCGGCGCTGAGGAGCTTCGAACAGAGCTCCCAACCCCGAGCCTGGGCAAGGGTTTAGGGTTTAGAAGGTTTAGGGTTTAGGGTTTAGGGTTTAGGGTTTAGGGTTTCGGGTTTCGGGTTTAGGGAGAACCCAATGCACTACTAAAATAGTCATTGAGGAACATAAGATTATCATGGCAGGAGCAATCATAATATAGGAATATCATATAACCATGAAATAACATGACAGTATACCTGAAACGCAGGGTCACCGAACACGGGCCGGCCTCCGAGCAATTGCTGAACGCACCTCACCTCAGGGTGCATTGGGTTTAGGGTTTAGGGTTTAGGGTTTAGGGTTTAGGGTTTAGGGTTTGGGGTTTAGGGTTTGGGGTTTGGGGTTTGGGGTTTGGGGTTTGGGGTTTGGGGTTTGGGGTTTGGGGTTTGGGGTTTGGGTGAAAGACGCTGTCACGGGTAGTTCGCTATATAGGGGCACCTTTTGGGGTCCTGTACATCATTGATAATACGGACCCCAAAAAGGACCCTAACTTAGAGAACTGCCCACATTCATCACGGCGACATGCTTACTGATGATGCCTCTTGACCTCCCTGCACTCTCAGCACTGAACAGACATGGCCGTTCCGCAAGACACGCTCCGGAAGCTTTGCCACGAACCGCTCGGGTGCACTGTGGCTCTCCTCAAGGTGACTTCAGGTAAAAGTACCTAAACCCCTAAACCCCCAAACCCCTAAACCCCTAAACCCCTGCTACCCCTAAACCCCTAAGCCCTGATTCACCCTGTGCTTTTGGCTGAAGCAGGGCTCTTCCGGAGCCTTCTTTTCTTAGAACTCGCTGCTTGTTTCTTCGCGGCGCCGCTTGTCGCTTGAACTGAAACTTGGTTGCATCCCCTCTGCGCCAAATCAACCGCGGGCAGAATCCCACTTGTACTGAGGCTTAGGGTTTAGGGTTTAGGGTTTAGGGTTTAGGGTTTAGGGTTTAGGGTTTAGGGTTTAGGGTTTAGGGTTTAGGGTTTAGGGTTTAGGGTTTAGGGTTTAGGGTTTAGGGTTTAGGGTTTAGGGTTTAGGGACCGCCAAACTTGCCCTCGATCTCCGGCATGTCTGTCTGAACCCAATCTGGGGTGTCGGAGCTGTCAAGCCAGAGCCCCTCTCCATCTTCTTTTCGTTTGAAGTCGGGAAATCTTGGGCTTGGCTTGTTGGTCCGAAAGTCTCTCCATGCTTGTGGCGAGCGAAAGAGCTCCTCCCAAAGATTGGCGAAACAGTGGCGGCTCCAAGCCAACCCAGTTGCGGCCAGAAGCAGAAAATGCTTCCCCAATGACGTGTGTCCTAGTGAGGAGGACAACGTTCGACGTCCAGGTGCCATGAGAGTCACGCTGTCGAGACGCTTCACGGCAATTGACCAAAATCCGAAAATGCCGATTCTGCCTACGTTGTGCGAACTACAGGTGGGTGGCCAATAACTCGGTAATCAGCTGCAATCCTGAGCCAGGGCTTAGAGTTACTGTTCTAATCAGATTAGCAATGTGGCACCTGAATTTTGTGCGACGTATGTGGGCCAAAAGTTTCCGCGGGGCGAGAGGATGAAGTCGCTGGCCCGCCCGCCAAGCAGTGCGAGATGCTCCATGCAGCGTGGATGGCACTGTGTCAAGGGTGTTCTGATTGAGCCCTTTCAAGGATCACCCTAACCCCTAGACCCTAAACCCTAAACCCTAAACCCTTAAACACTTAGAACAGCCACCAAGGCCCCACGATTCTCAAACGCACTAACGTCCTCGTGCAACATCCGAGCTCCCAGAGGTCGCAAGCGCTCGCCGCCGTCGCAAAGCTCCGCATCCCCAGCGGCCTCCTGTGTAAATGTTGGGCTTAAGGGGTTTAGGGTTTAGGGTTTCGGGTTTCGGGTTTCGGGTTTCGGGTTTAGGGTTTAGGGTTTAGGGTTTAGGGTTTAGGGTTTAGGGTTTAGGGTTTAGGGTTTAGGGTTTAGGGTTTAGGGTTTAGGGTTTAGGGACAAGGTGCGAGATCCAAGCACACGTCAGGCTTACATCGGGACCGCAACTTCCTGATCAAGCTGCTCAAGGAGGGTCCTAAACCCTAAACCCTAAACCCTAAACCCTAAACCCTAAACCCTAAACCCAGGGTCCTTCAGCCACGTCCGGAAGCTGTGCTTGGTGCGATTCACAGCTCGCATTGCCACACCTTCCGGGTAGTCCTCATGGAAAGCCAACCCGTCTGCAAAGGGTTTAGGGTTTAGGGTTTCGGATTTCGGGTTTAGGGTAATTTCATCCGCTTTGCCCTTCGGCTGAGGTTTGTGAAGAGAAGTCCTCTCGCAAGACACGTGGCAAGCAGCCATCAAGGATGTTTCCTGGGCTCAGTAATGATGCCGGATGCTGAGCTGTGTCTACGTGACATGCGCGTGCCTGGCGGCGATCAGAGAACACATGTAAAGCCTTCTGAACGCATCGGGAATGCCCGAAGAACCCTAAACGTTGAACCCTAAACCTTTAACCCTAAACCCTAAACCTTCAGCCCTAAACCCATACCTTACCTGCATCAAGAGTCTAGGGTTTAGGGTTTAGGGTTTAGGGCTTAGGGTTTTGGGTTTAGGGTTTAGGGTTTAGGGTTTAGGGTTTAGGGTTTAGGGTTTCGGGTCATCCCGGAGCTCGAGTCCTTCTTCACCTCCCTGCGCAGCCCAAGGGGCGAATAATCTCTTGGGCGGAACTCATCTCGAAAGGAACGAAAGCATGATGAGCCAACTTTAAGCCTCAAGAGGGTTTAGGGTTTAGGGTTTTGGGTTTAGGGTTTTGGGTTTCGGGTTGAGGGTTTAGGGTTTAGGGTTTAGGGCCTCGGGATTTAGGGACTTTAACTGTAAGCCTCAAGATTCAGGGATTGAGGCGGGGGGTTTAGGGGGGTAAGGGGTTTAGGGTTCAGGGTGTGGGGTTGGGGTTTAGGGTTTAGGGGTGCTCCTCAGCATCATGTCCAAAGAACGGAGCACTGCACACAACAAGATCTACAAGCTGCGCAGGGTCTTAAACGACCAATGGCTAATGCTGATGCGGCGCCATCATTGAAAAACGTGAGCGGAAGACATTGATCGTTGTCGCGGAGACATGCGCGGTAACCAGCACTTCCCAACTCCACCACCTCACCGTTGAGGCATCGGATCTCTCCATCTAGTTTCTGCGTGACCCTATGTCATCATGTTCTGTTCTCTTAGCACTTCGACGATGGCATGATCTGGCCGTCCCTTCTACGGCCGAAGATTCACAATGCACGGCACTACCCCCGCGAGGGCCTTCTGAGTGTCGTTTAAGGTGGCGTTGAGCTTCTCGATTCGAGATTCTATGACCTCCGGTCTTGGATTTGTCGGAAGCATATGGCTAACCCTAAACCCTAAACCCACACGTGTGTTGCAACATCGACAACATCGACTGCAAGAAGATGCCACCTGGAAATCCACTGTGACTCCTCCAGGAGAGACCTCTGCATTGTCTGTGGACGGAGCGTCTGGCTTCCACATCAAGCCGTAGTCCTTGAACTTCCCAAGACTTGCTAAACGCAGCCCTAAACCCTAAACCCTAAACCCTAAACCCTAAACCCTAAACCCTAAACCCTAAACCCTAAACCATGATTTGCCAAGCTTCCGCCAAGAGCCCTTTCATGACTTCGACCTGTCTGCGCAGGTGCTTGCACTCAGCTTCAGCGGAGTGGCCAACCGAGGTGCCAGAACCGTCGGCCCCTTCAGGCGAAGTTGGGGGGGTTTAGGGTTTAGGGTTTAGGGTTTAGGGTTTAGGGTTTAGGGTTTAGGGTTTAGGGTTTAGGGCTTAGGGTAACCTCCTAGGGGTCCTTTCTTCAAGGGGATTCTACTGTACTTGGGGGTAAGAAGGGGTACCCCGATTATCGGAAACCCCCAAACCATGGCTGAGAAAAAGATGGGGGGATGTGCCATGTTTTCTTTTCCCCTGCTTTTAATATTAAACCCCCCTACCCCCCCCCCACCAGACTATAATAACTATAATGGGGGGGGGGTATTTAACATTGAGGGGGGGGGGGGTTGAATATTAGGGGGAGGGGACTGCTCCAAGCGAGGCAAGCACTGCCTGAATCGCCGCTGCTGCGCACAAGCTTCGAGCGCAGCTCCTCCACTTCCTCCGAATTGTGCTTTAAGATGCTTTAAGCCCTTTGAAAGCTACTTATGAACAGTTTCCCTTATAAGTAAAGAAGCGAAAATTTAAATTAAAAAAAACACACAACCCAGTCCTGCGTGCGTTCCTTGAGCTCCTCCTTGAGGCACCTCGGTGCTCGAGCCCTTGAAGGTGCGATGGTTCTTCCGAATATCGGGATGCCACTTGTATACCCCCAAATACTTCGTCATCCTTGTGATGGGAACCTTCGGTTTGGGTACCCCAAGTTGTAAAACCCTAAGATGAGCTCCAGCATGGTAGGGTCCGTACGCAAACAGGCACACAGATGACAAAGGCCCATTTTCCCCCACGGCTGTACAACTGCAGGCCAGTCAAGCACGAATAACACAGTTACTTATAATTGTAACCATAGTTAATTATTTTACTTCGAACATCCCCACCCTCTCTTGGCAGAGATACTCTAGGGTTGGGCACTCCAGGGACACTCTGGGGCTGGGCTCCGGGGACACTCTGGGGTTGGGCACGAAACTCTCTGGGTTGGGCCCTCCAGGAAAGCTCTGGGGCTGGGCACTCTGGGGTTGGGCACTCCAGGGAGACTGGGACTAAACCACTCCAAGGACACTCTGGCGATGGGCACTCTGGGGTTGGGCACTCCAGGAAAACTCTGGGGCTGGGCACTCCAGGGACACTCCAGGCACATTTGGGGTTGGGCATGGTTGGGCACTCCAGGGAGGAGTGAGGAGTAGACCGGGCGAGGAGAAGAGTTCCGGGTGAGGAGAAGGGTGAGGAGAAGAGTTGAGTTCAAAAACTAACAACCCCACACCGAGGGTGGGGAATAAAGAAGAATTGTAGTGATGACTGTTATTACGACTGTAATTATTCAATAAGAAAAAGTAAACACACGTGATGCTACCAATACAGTACGCGAAGCCTTTTACACACGCTTGCCACTTCCTGAACACGTCGTGTATGCAATTCTCTCCTCTCCACATTGATAGCATCCGAGGATCTTGTTCTGCTGCTCCACTTGCGCCAATCGCGAGGCCAGGCTTGCAACCAAACTGTCGTCGGAGGAAGGTTTCCGCCGGGGCGCGACCTGCAAACGACGCGATCAACACATCCCAACACCCACAGGACACCATGGAAGCCACACTGCAGGCACTGAGTGTGCCCTCGAACCTCTGCTCGACCAACTGCCGCCGCGCCGGCCGCCTGCAGTCGCGGCAGCGGAGGCCTCGAGCCTGCCAGGAATGAGCATGGGAGCATCTGAGCATCTAGGAAGCTTCATGCGAGTCGGCACGACTCTGTGCGCATGGGGCTTGTGCTCAAGGGCAAACTGTTTCATTGCTGTGGAGGCCTGCCCTTCGAGGAGACTGAGCCTCTTTGGTCTCGCTCGGGCGGTCCTGGTGAACCAGGCATGTAGTACAGCACACGTGCCGGTGCTCTAGCCCATGCCAAGAGTTGATGCTATGCCTTGCACTAGCTGGGGGCTCGTCCAGGCTTCATAACACTTCAAGTGGCTGGTTTGTTCGAGAAGCACATGTTGCATGACAAGTTTCCAAGCCACAAATGTGTGCGAACGAGCTGGCAATTGGCAAAGCGTATAGATAGCATCGAACCCTCTACGGCTGAGTGTGCCCTTGCATCCGACTTGGGCTTGAGCAAGCATTCTCAGGTGCTGATGCGGAACTGGCACAGCACCCGAAGCCCTAAACCCTAAACTCTAAACCCTAAACTCTAAACCCTAAGCCCTAAACCCTAAGCCCTAAGCCCTAAATCCTAAACCCTAAACTGTTGGACGGAATGTGTCATTGGGCGGTCTGCCTGCAGTAGGGCTGCGACGAGGGAGTGCTGAAGCTCTGGCTCCAGCGACACTTCGCCCCTGGATCCTGCACAAGAGCATTCAGAACATGCGGTTTAGGGTTTAGGGTTTAGGGTTTAGGGTTTAGGGTTTAGGGTTTAGGGTTTAGGTTTATAGGGCTTTGGGTTTGGGGTTTAGGGAGGCAACACGCACGTCTGTGCCACAGAAGAACCAGGTCATGACGGAGTGCCTGGTCGCCCGGGAAGAGCTGGCCGGCTGTTCGGAGCAGTCATCGCTGTCCATGCCTACTTGGCCGAGTGCAGCTCTGCCCGCAAGCTGTGATTGAACCTCGATGTCCTGAGTAACTAAAAACCAGATGTTCCCGTGAGAGTAGTAGCTCATAGCTGCTGGAGCCAACCTTCCTAGCCAGCAACCAGCACAACATAGCACAACCATGTAGCCGCGACGTGATGCAGCTGGCCGTCGAAGTAAGAGCACTAGGGTCCCGTGGAATGCCGCTGCCCCGATGACTTACTGGGACTCAAGGCCGTCCAACGCAAGCTGCGGAGGTGTAAAATTTTGAACCACATCTGCACTGATAAAGCATCAGCCAAGTGCAAACACGAGCCGGCACAAAGGATGTCGCAGGCTTGCGCTCTCTTTTTGCAGCGGCACCCCTGCTTGCACGAGTCTTATTCCGAAAGGAAATAGACCTGCGCGATCCCGACCTTGGTCCAAAACGAGATTCTTGGGGTAGCTACACAGTCCCTTGATATGGGCCCTTCAATGGGGGCCCCGTATATACCCCCGGTCAAAACCCTATGCTCCAAGCCCCTAAACCCCGCCTCAAACCCTAAACCCTAAACCCTAAACCCTAAACCCTAAACCCTAAACCCTAAACCCTAGACCCTAGACCCTAAACCCTAAACCCTAAACCCTAAACCCTAAACCCTAAACCCTAAACCCTAAACCCTAAACCCTCACCCCCAGGAAAGTTAGGATCTGGGCTTCCATTGTGAGGCTGGGGATGCTGCGATGGCACCGAGGACGCCCCCGAGCAGAATCAGGATCCACCTGAAGGTTTAAGGTTTAGGGTTTCGGGTTTAGGGTTGAGGGTTGAGGGTTGAGGGTTTAGGGTTTAGGGTTTAGGGTTTAGGGTTTAGGGTTTAGGGTTTAGGGTTTAGGGTTTAGGGTTTAGGGTTTAGGGTTTGGGGTTTGGAGTTTAAGGAAAATAGGGTGTACCTTTTTTTTTTTTTTGGGGGGGGGGGGTCCCTTTAAGGGGATTCTATCCACCTCGTTGAGTGTGGGTTTTTTGAGTATTCCGGCTTTTCATGTCTTGGGGGATTGGGGTTTTGGGGTTTTAGGGATTTAGCGTTTTAGGGTTTTAGGGCTTTAGGGCTTTACGGTTTTCAGCGTTTTAGGGTTTTTATGTAAGTTAGGGCTCTAGGGTCTTCGGGTTTTGGGGATTTAGGGCTCTAAGGGCTTTAGGGGTCTATTCGAGTCGTAATTATGTGCCATCGTACCTCTTTCTTTCGTCCGAGGTCCCTGCTCATCTTCTTGGAAGACCGGGCGTAAGAGACGTTCAAACCCCAAACCCTGAACCCTAAACCGAGGCCCAGGCTCATCTTCTTGGAAGACCGGGTGTAAGAGACGTTCAAACTCATCTGGCGGCCTCAGTCACGAAAACTGAAGCCGCCCGTGCGACAGCAAGTTGACTTTGGATTAGCATTTTCTAAATTTCACACGACTTTCGCATTAAGTTATTGTAGTCTTTGATGTGCCTATATCCGGCACATTCGCATGCTAGGCATCGAGCATTTTCTGCATGGCCACGGCATTGGACCTGCGCCAGATTTGAACATCAAAGCAGACGCAGGCCTTGCACCTGGCATGCCTGAAGACGTCGGTGGCCACCGCCAGGTACTGTGAGGCCTGAGTCGAGCACCACGCGCGAACTCGCAAAAGGGTTTAGGGTCTGGGGTTTAGGGTTTAGGGTGTGGGGTTTAGGGTTTAGGGTTTAGGGTTTAGGGTTTAGGGTTTAGGGTTTAGGGTTTAGGGTTTAGGGTTTAGGGTTTAGGGCTTAGGGTTTAGGGTTTAGGGTATCCTGAGGATCACGCGGCCTGCTGCAACTCATCGTTCTCTGCAATACGCTCTGCAGAGGTCTCGGCATGTCTGGATCATCAAGCCAACTGCTTGCGCATCGCTTGCGGAAATCACTGTTGAAAACGTGTGAGATCAGCTCTTTCTGCCCTTGCTAGTCATAGGATGTTCCCATAATCGGGCGACCTCTATGACCGTGACTTCTGAAGCAGTCAGCACCAGTCGGCACGCAGCTGAGTGCTGGGCACCTACAAGGTCTTCCTGGGCAGGGTTAAGAGTTTAGGGTTCAGGGTGTAGGGTCTAGAGTTTCGGGTTCAGGGTGTAGGGCTTAGGGTTTAGGGTTTATGGGGTTAAAGGGCGACCACGCACAACAAATGTTCCAGCACGCAGCGGTTGAAATTGTCGCGTGGATTGTTGCTTCCCATGAGCCTCCACGGCTCGGAGCTTCTCCGAGCCAACTGCAACAGGCGCCTGGGGAAGTAAGATTGCGGATTAGATGGCGGTGATCGTCTAGGATGCCTCTTTAAAGCCCTCTGAATAATCCTAAAATATGATCCTCTTAAGACATAGCACATCCCAACAGCCTTCCTAGTAGCTTGCATGGAAGTAGTGCACATGATGACGACCAGCATTGGTGGGAACTGCAGAGGTGGTAAGCGGGCCACAATCCACGTGACCGCTTTGCCCATGGTCTGCTTCATCATGTTTTGAATGTTCTGGTTGTAGATGTCCTGACATCAAAGCCGTCACTTCTCGACCCAAAGCCTCCTCTAGCTGAAACGGCAGATGCTCGTGTTCAGTCCTGCAGATCCGTCCAAACAGGGATGGTTTGCAGGTATGCTATCACCTAAGTGGGACATTGCTCACGAAACAGAGTCCATGGTGGCAACTCATACTGTACCCCCAAATGGGGCCCACGATGTCACGTGCGGCCGCCACAACATTCGAAACCCTAAACCCTAAACCCTAAACCCCAATTAAACCCTAAACCCTAAACCCTAAACCCCGTTTGAGCCCAAGAAGTTTGAGGTGCGATTGGCTTTTCAGAGTTCGCCCGCTTTTGGGGGTTTTGGAGCTTGGGGCTGCGCAGCTAGGGGGTGCTGCCTCTTCTTTTGAAGGTGTTTAGGGTTTAGGGTTTAGGGTTTAGGGCTTAGGGCTTAGGGCTTAGGGTTTAGGGCTTAGGGCTTAGGGTTTAGGGTTTAGGGTTTAGGGTTTAGGGGGGATCCCGGCCAACATCTCCAATCTGCAGGCCTTGTGAAAATCGAAGAAATGGTCCACCAGAAGCTTGGCATAGAGAGTCGCAACATCCCTGACATAGGCGCAATGCGAGGGAAAGCCATGCCTGGCAACCACTCCTGCCTTTGTCTCTTCAGGAAGAGGCCCTGGATGCTGCCCAGATACCACCCGCACACCTGAATTCTAGAGGGGACAGGAGCGAAACTGGAGGTCAAGCTGCTGATGGGGAGGTTGAGACGCATGCTCGAACAGGGTGCGGATGGCACGGCTTGAAGCACATCTGGATCGCTAGCCTGCGGAGTCAACGCAGGCGTCCTGTATGCGGTTCATGCAAGACACATCGCTGCGACGTGCAGGGAACCAGTTGGTGAGGATGCCCAGGAAGAACCCTGTTCCTGGAAGTAAGATCATCCTGCCTGGCAAAGAAACAATCGCCATCCCTGTCTCTCAACAAGAGGCTGCAAGAAATCGCTGCTTCAATCGAAGTACACAATGGCACGCCCGAAGTCACATCTCAATTTTGAGAGAACTTGCCTGTTTCGTCCAAGTAGTTGAAGGCAACCAGCCTTGGCGGTTGACTGCGAAAAGGACACATCCAACAGTCAGGCGAACAGAGGGTCGGAAATGTCTGCAAGTGATGCTTTTTGGATGTTCATATCGACTGACAGGCCATGCACGAGTAAGTGTAGTGACACTTGCAGCTTTCACTCCAAACAAGCAACACGTGTGCAAACCATCGCGCGGCCTATACTCGATCTTCTTCAGCAAAGGCACTGGATAAGCCCACAAACAAAGCCCAACGCCGCACCACATCCTAAGCTGTCTTGGACGAAACTGCGATGACAGTGATTACAAGCGTATGTATATATATATATGTGGATATTATGAGATCAAAATGTGAATGTATACTATATGACAGTATATTTTTTGCATTATATAAGTATAATAACGTATATTGTACCATGTGTATGTATGTGGATATATATATATATGTATATATATATATATGTATGTATATGTATTTGTTTATGTATCTATTTATTATGTACCTTGTTTATGTGTGTATCTATCTATCTATCTATCTATCTATCTATTTATCTATCTATCTATATGCATATATATATATAAGGGTCATTTGGCCAAGAGAAACACAGCCAAGGCAAGGACGCTCGATGAAGCGAAACTCTTTGTCACCCATGGACAGGAAAAAATGATTGAGCAGCTCCTGGAGGGCTTGGGCTTAGGGCTTAGGACTCAGGGCTTGGGGCTTGGGGCTTGGGGCTTAGGGCTTAGGGCTTAGGGCTAGGGCTTAGGGCTTCGGTCGGGCTTCGGGCTTAGGGCTTAGGGCTTGGGGCTTAGGGCTTAGGGCTTAGGGCTTAGGGCTTAGGGCTTAGGGCTTAGGGCTTAGGGCTTAGGGTTTAGGGTTTAGGGTTCAGGGCTGAGGGTTTAGGGTTGAAGAGCACGGCCGACCCACGTATGTCTGCCGGAGGCTGGAGCCCAAGGCACTGTACTTGAGTGCTGTCGTCTCCCTAGCACAAGTGGTTCCTGGCCCGCTGAACTAGTTTTTGCCCCGAGACCTGACTTGCCATGACAACCAGACCAAGAAAAACAGCTACTTCTGTCGATCGCGCTGCCTAGGTCCAGACTCGGGCCCGCCAAACAGCGGGCGCTTCTTGATATCTTGAAGGGCCCACCTGTTCTCCTGCTTGAATTTCTTGGCCACGCTGGCCGAAACAGCCTTCGCTTTTTGGTCGTTTGCTCGCACCGCTCTGCCACCTCGACTTGACTGGGCCTGAGATGGGCACTAGGTCACCAGGCCAAGAGCATCAGCGAGCATCAGCGATTCAAGCCCGGCGCTTCCGGAGCGGGCACACGCAAGTTCGCGCGCGCGCGCACGCGCGCGCGCCCCCCCCACCCCCACCCCCGCTCTCCCTCCCCCGACTGATACTGGGCTTTGCGAGTGCTGCACTGTCAGAAGTCCATACTCGCAGCCTTGTGCTCGGCAAAGACAGACACAATCATGCCGTCATTGTCAAGACCTGAAGCCGAAGAACACACACACACACACAAACAGCGACACACAGAGGCACGATTTTGTCAGCACCGGCTATGGATCAACCCCGTGCTCATCATCTCATCCTCCCTGCCTATCACGGGATCGCATAGCTTCGTTGTGACTTTGTTCCACATCTCCGGGAAGCTTTCCTGAAGCAGCACAAGCTTGGAGGATCGAGCACTTGCGTCCCTTACCGCGGTGCTGCTGGTGACCGCACCTCGATTTTCTCCATGACGATCGACACCAACTCGTTCTCAACACTTGGAGGCAAACGCCCGTCCTTGGCCTTAGATCCGAAACATCATGTAGCAAGAATGCTCGCAGAGGAGGGCTGTTGTAAAATGTACAAACAGATCTCCTTCTGATGCAAACACCTTAGGCATGGACCAGCATGGACGGGAAGTGGCGTCGGAGTACACTTGCCATGGAGGCCTGAGGCTGTGATGTCCACAAAGAACTTCCATAGGGACCGATGCAGCACTCTGAGCCGCTATCCCGCGTGACCCGTTCCAACATGGGGTGAATCTGGCAGGAGCACCACTTCTGAGAACCTTACACCTTAAGCCCCAAGCCGTAACATCGGAAGTGGGCTGGGGGGCGCCTTTGCGAAAAGCAAGCTGGTATCCACGCGCGCAAACCAGTCGGTTGGTCCCATAAGATATGGCCTCTGCAGCGCAGTGTGAACCCACAAAGGTCTTAGAGAATCACGAATCACTGGGTCCACAAACGATCAATGACCATGAAGTCACGACGAGGACGACGTCGACGACGACGACGAACGGACGGACGGACGGACGGGCAGGAAGGGAGGGAGTCAAGGAAGGAAGGAAGGAATGATGTTGGGCACATGTATGCTCGCACTGTTACCAGAAACCTCGTTGTAGACAGACAAGCTTGCAAAAGACCATGTTTAAAGCGACGACGTAAAAATCAGCAATTTCTGCACCCTGCATTGTGTCATTGCCCGTGGTTGTGTCGTGGCTTTTTTTTGCCTGGTGTTGCCTACTGATACTGGCCGTGCTTGTGCGTCATTGCAATGACTTATTACTCTTAAAGGAAGCGCAAGCTCGGCGGAAAACAGGGTTTGAACCTTTTGGAGCTGTTGAGTTCGGGCTTCGGGCTGTAGGACCCCAAGGCTAGGGTTCAGGGCTTCCCGGGCCCTAAGTTTCCTTCATTCCGCCTTGTGAAGGGCGCGCTCCGCTGCGTGCCGCAGGAACGGTGCCCTAGGGTTTAGGGTTTAGGGTTTAGGGTTTAGGGTTTAGGGCTTAGGGTGAAGGGTACAAAGCAAAACATCGAATCTCATGTGTCGACACCTCCCGCTCTCCGGCCCACCTTGCACAGCTGAACGCGATCTTGCCCATCTTCTTTGCCTTCCTGTCAGGAGGCGAGACAGCCTGAAAGCAACTCCGAAGCGACTCCTCTAAACCCTAAACCCTAAACCCTAAACCCCTGAGAAGACGCGCCTTGGAATCACTCCCTGCCAGCCCACGCCAATGCCGGTGTCTCCGTACCTGTCTCAGGCAAACATCATGCGTCACAGGCGTATCCATATCTTGTATCGGCTTCTTTACTACAAGCAGTATGTATGTGCCTACATATGTACATATGTACATATGCATATGTATATATATGTACATATGGGTAGTGTGTGTGTATATATATACATATATATATATACATATATATATATATATGTTGTGTGTCTCTTTGTGTGTATTTCATCTATGTCTATTATCTGTATATATGTATATATATACCCCAAAAACTGAATGCTATCAGCCTTTTGGGCTTGGCTCACTGCCAGATTCCGAAGAACTTGATCGGCAGAAACCTCGTTGACACCGGCGACCGCCGCAGCGAGATTCTAGGGTTTGGGGTGTGGGAGGTTTAGGATCTAGGGTTTAGGGTATAGGGTTCAGGGTTTAAGGTTTAGGGTTGAGGGTATAGCGATCGAGCGCCAGGCATCATTTTGATGGCGAGCCATATGTGAAACCTGATATCTGACGCATGCTCTGCTATCCAGCTGGTCAGGGCTTCGTGCACTAAGTAGGGCACCATGTAAAGAAGAGTGCCACCACAGGAATGGACACCAGTAGCGCGGTGCGGTAGACCTGGAGCAACCACATGGCTGCTGCCTTGCGGCTGCACTCAGCTCCTCATGCACACGCACACACACACACACACAAAGAGACACACACACACACACACACTCTTCTAGTTTCGCCAATTGACCTTGCCGCAAACACTGCAGACTAGATTTGAAAAAAGATTTGGTCGTATGCTTGCTGGGGCTTTGTTGGAGCAAGATCAATTTGTGTGACTGCACCTAAAGGTTTCACTGCAGGAGGCAAGATGCAGCAGGGCTCGATGTGCAGGGCACAAGTTTATAGTTGCGAGTATCCCTAAACCCTAAACCCTCGCCGTTGCGCTTTGACTGAACTCAGCTCTTCCACTTCCAAAACTTCCGGCATTTCGCCCCTTTTGGCAAAAAAAACACGGTATGTGGGCGAAAACAACTGCAGAAGGTGAAAGCCCTAGGCGCATCTTGTCGCGTTTGTTTTATCGTGCAAAACCATTTGCTTGCACACTGAGACGGTTTCTCGCTCTGCAAAGTATGCATGACAGAAAACCGTCCGACACGCGTGTGGTGCGAGAAGCTTACATACGCATTCGATTTCGAGCCAGAAGTATATACAACGCCACGTAGCCGACCGCTCCAGCAAGACTTCCCGCTGACCTCGTGCTGCTGCTCGGGCGGCAGGCGGTCGTAGTACCATGCCCACAGCAAAAGGCTGCCCACCAAGAAGAAGGTGATGGCCAGCACATTCCTGAACGACTTTTAGGGTGTCTGGTCTCCCTCCCCCCGCAACCTGCCCCGCAATCTGCCGAAACAGTCTGCCAAGACTGCAGCAACTGGATGTTCAGCCACTCCACCCTCCGCTCAATCCCCGCCATGGCCTCGGTACTACATGAGGGGAATCTGAACTGCTTCCCGGGTTGAAAAATGGGGGTTATCCCCTCATTATAAGGACCCCCAATAAGGTACCCTTAAACCCTAAACCCTAAACCCTAAACCCTAAACCCTAACTTCGGAAACCCCCATACTATCGCAAACCCCCGAATCGAGGTGCTGGCTGCGTCATGGCGCTCAGCAGACGCCGACTTCAAGGGCGAGACCTCGCCATCCTCATCAACAATTAGGGTTTAGGGTTTAGGGTTTAGGGTTTAGGGTTTAGGGTTTTAGGGTTTAGGGGTTTAGGGGTTTAGGGGTTTAGGGGTTTAGGGGTTTAGGGGTTTAGGGGTTTAGGGGTTTAGGGGTTTAGGGTTTAGGGGTTTAGGGGTTTAGGGTTAGGGTTTGGGGTTTAGCGTCAGGGCTTACAGCAGCTCACAAGGGTACTTCTCTAAATTAGGGTCCCATCTGGGGTATTTGTTATATGTGTTTTCTTCTATTCTTTGTGTAGGACCCACGAAGGGACCCTAATTTAGAGAACTACCCCAAAACCCCAAAACCCCAAAACCCCAAAACCCCCAAAAAACACCCAAACCCCCAAAACCCCCAAAACCCAAACCCCAAAACCCCCCAAACCCCCAAAACCCCCAAAACCCCAAAACCCCAAAACCCCAAAACCCCAAAACCCCCAAAACCCCAAAACCCCAAAACCCCCAAAACCCCACACATCGGCTCTGAGTCCCTGCTCGCAGGGTGTCCTCAAGCCGAACATAGGGTTCCAGCAGCTCACCTCTGCAAGGCAAGCGCGCTTACAGACTGGCACGTGCAATGCAGGAATTCATATGAAGGTGCCTCGATGAAACCCTAAACCCTAAACCCTAAACCCTAAACCCTAAACCCTAAACCCTAAACCCTAGCCCTAAACCCTAAACCCTAAACCCCAAACCCTAAACCCTAAACCCTCACCTGGCAGCCTGGAAAGTTTAGACCTAGGCCAGCAGAGGGTGCCTGGCCTGCTTGTGCTCCCATACTCCGGAGCACAAGTTATCCCATTGATTTCTTGCTACATGGGATCATACTGTATTGTTCTATATTATTGTGCTGTTAGATTGTTCTACTTTCAAGATTACATGACCATATTAATGATACTACTATGTTATTACATTGCTATGTATTTAAAAAGTTACTAGTATAACACGTTTACATGAGAGAACGCGCACTCATGGCATATGCTACGGCTACATCGCGTATGTGCAAGTGCTCTTGAGTACTGTGGTGAAAAGAAATCGCCAAAGCTTGAGCAGATCCAACTGACGAGAATTTTCTGACCACAGGGTTTAGGATTTAGAGTTTAGGGGTTAGGGTTTAGGGTTTAGGGCCTTTAGGGTTTAGGGTTTAGGGTTTAGGGTTTAGGGTTTAGGGTTTAGGGTTTAGGGTTTAGGGTTTAGGGTTTAGGGTTTAGGGTTTACGCTGCTGCCAATCACGCGTGAAGTTGGGGCAGGCCAGTATTATGCTGCACCCACTGTATTGAGGACCTCCGCTGCAAGGTCAAGATTCAAGTTTGCGGGACTATTCAGGAATCGGCCATGTCGTCAGAAAATGTCGCGTGGCGCGCCTTAAGCATCAATTGCCAGCCCCCCTCCTCGAGGGCGGGGGAGTCGGTAGCACACAAAAGCAGAGCCAAGGGGAACATACCCCAACATGGTATCATCCTTGACATAGGAACCCCCAAGAAGGGTACCCCGTTGTTCGGAAACCCCCATGTAGGATGACGTGATGCACGGTCGACAGCATCAGCTGAACCATTCTTTTGCTTCCCAGCCCAGGTCGAACCATCGCTTGACAGAGACAAGGGTTTAGGGTTTAGGGTTTAGGGTTCAGGGTTTAGGGTTCAGGGTTTACGGTTTAGGGTTACGTTTCAATTGGACGGGCTATCTGCAAGCAACGAACGAAACACACACCGCATCTGGCACTAGAACACCCGGCTCCGGGCTCGGGTGTGAAACAGGTCGGTTGCATGATGTTGCATGCCACAGCTCAAGCAGCTCCAGACAAAGCTCTTCGCAGACCTTCTAATCTGGCAATCTCATCCATCTCCTGCTGAATCTCCTGCCATAGGCCGGCTGCATGGCTTGCCTTCATTGCAGTGTGACTGTGCCGGCCTTTGAACGCCGGCGCCGTTCTTCAGCCTGGGGCGAGCTAGCAGAACAGGCTGCTGTCTGCAGATGCACACAATCTGTCATATGTCAGAAATGCGTGTTGCGCGTTGTCTGCTCTGGGTTGTGCGTCGGGCGGTAGGGCAGGGAGGTGACGGGGAAGGGCAACGAAGAGGGCCAAGGTTTATGCTGACCCAGCTTGATCAGCCAGATAGATGTGCCTACTTCCAGTTCGCGCAGGCCTATGTCCTCACCGCTGAAAAACGTTGCGAAGAGTCAGAGGGGGCTTTACACCGGGGTGCGTCGGCTGCGTGTGTAGTGTATGTGGTGTTTGTATCCTCGGGTTCTTCATCCTCCTGCTCCCCTCCTCCTCACTAGCAAAGAGACCGGATGTAGGCACCTTGGTGCAGGAACTGCCTTCTCCTGCCGGGAAATTTCCATGGAACTCTACTCAGACTCCGGCATGACTCGGCACTACAGGATGTTTCGTCTGGCGAAAAGTAGCTAGGTGAGGAGAGGTGGCCCTTCGGAACATGTTGCAATACTCGTCACATGAAGGCAGAAACGAGAAGTGATAGACAAATCTACAACTCAAACAAACAATATATATATATATATACATATGTATATATATATATATATGAGAATATATATATATACATTATTCTAATATGCTAATATGTGTAATACAACTCTCAGACTTTCGAGCCGTGGAAGGTGGCTCCAAGCTGAGGCTTCCACCAGTTGTGCGGTTAGGACCGCAATTCGAGTCTTCGGATGGCGAGCTTCGGCCTGTCCAGTGGCCCTAGTCAGTGTTAGGGTTTAGGGTTTAGGGTTTAGGGTTTAGGGTTTAGGGTTTAGGGTTTAGGGTTTAGCGCGGGATATATTCGCTACGAAGGACCAGTACTGTAGGTAGTGGCGCCGAGCGTCCTTTCCGCAAGTTACGGGCACTTCTGAAACCCAGGCTTGGATAGGGCTTGGTACCTCGTCATGCCACTGTCTGAGAACCTGGATGGCAACAGCCTGCCGCCGCACTTCCTGTGATCGGGGGTGGGTCGAGAAGCAACTGCATGGCGCTGTTAACTCCTTATGGGTCTCTTTGTTTCCGGCAGCATGGGCATGCAAGACTCCACGGCACGCGTGCATGGTTCGGCACAGTCCCGTCTCTGAATCTGGAAGATACCTGCTGCAGTCCTTCTGCAAGCGCTCCAATTCTGTGGCGGTCTCCTCGGGTCGTTCCTTAACACGCACTCAACCGTGCGCACACCAGAGTTAGACGTAGGTGGATAAGTTCGGAATCAGGCCTGACGTCCACGTGCCGCTCGCAGGTGTGCAGGATCAGTTGTCGCTAGCAGCACCTGACTTTGGTTTCTGAGACGCAAGTGTGGATCAGTGCACCAACATTCCCGACATGACCTTCCTGACGCTGGCCATCCCTGCTTCCACATCCTCAGTGACAAAGGCTACGCCACGCACAGGCATCGGCAACATGCTGACTGGCTGGTTCTTGGTAGGAAATGAGGCAATGAGGTACCCTGTATAATCCCTTGAAGGGTATACGGGAGTCGAGTTCCCTCATTCCCTAATAAGAACCAGCCAGTTGATTCAGCGGTTTAGGGTTTAGGGTTTAGGGTTTAGGGTTTAGGGTTTAGGGTTTAGGGTTTAGGGTTTAGGGTTTAGGGTTTAGGGTTTCGGGTTTCGGGTTTAGGGTTTAGGGTTTAGGGTTTAGATGCTGTGAAGGTTAGGATGCAGCAGCGGCTCGAATGCCTCGTCAAATGCGCAGAGCAGCTCTGGCCCGATTTTGGAGGGCCATCAACAACTTTTCTCCCACCCCACGCCGTCCGAGGCGGCAAAACCACCCAAACCTATTCCTTTTAGGGTTTAGGCCTAAACTCATGACAATCGCTTACTTTCAAAAAAACCTTTCCCCAAGAATAAGGTTTGTCAGGGTTAGGGGGCCACAAGAGGTGGGCAGAAGGGCCGGCCGGGAGGGCCAAAAGGCAGGGGGGGGGGGGGGGCAAAGGGGGCCAGGGGGCGGGGGGCCAGGGGGGGCCAGGGGGGGGTGAGGGGGGGCCAGGGGGCCAGGGGGGGGCAGGGGGGTCAGGGGGGCCAGAGGCGCTGCCCCCCAACGTAGGGGGGCGGCCTAGGCCTTGAGTTTAGGGTTAGGGTTTAGGGTTTAGTGTCGGATCATGCAGCAAAGTGGCCTGCCAAATTTCAGAAACCTGCAACTCTCGCCGGCGATGGGCAAGAGCCAGGCCTGCAAGCTCGCGCTTCAGGTCAAAGGGGTTTCGGGTTTAGGGTTTAGGGTTTAGGGTTTAGGGTTTAGGGTTTAGGGTTTAGGGTTTAGGGTTTAGGGTTTAGGGTTTAGGGTTTAGGGTCTAGGCTTCAGGTCAAAGAATGTCAAGAGAGAGAGAGAGAGAGAGAAAGAGCGAGAGAGAGACAGAGAGAGAAAGAGAGAGAGAGAGAGAGCGAGAGAGAGAGAGAGACAGAGAGAGACAGAGAGACAGAAAAAGAGAGAGAGAGAGACAAGGCTATTGGTCCCTTGAAAGAGGATTCTATTCTATCCGGGGAGAAAAAAAGGATTACCTCTATTTTGGGAAATACCTATTCTGGCAGAACTTGTCAGAGCACTTCTGGCAACCCCGCCGGTAGAGAAAGCTGCGAGGCATTCAAAGAGAAGGCGCGTTCGGTCAACAGCCGCTGCCGAGCTTCATCCGAGACGCAGTGCTGACAGTGCCACCACTAGGACAGGTGGTTTACGAAATTTTGGGGTACCTTATTGGGGTCCTTATGATAAGGGAATCCTACTACTTGGGGGGCTATTTTGGGGGTCCCCTATTTTCGTAACCCCCAACTGAACTCTGCGCCGGATCCTTACACATTGGGCCTTCGATCTTCTGCTCAAGCGCGTGGCACCTGGATGAAAGAACAACAAGCTCCAAGGCTCCGAGTAAAAACTCCAAGACACTCTGAGCCCTGGGCTCCTCGGCGGCAATCCGTATCTTCATTTGGAGATGCTTGGTTCGCTGCTGCACATCCTGACCCACAAAAAAAGACATGCACCCGTGGCAACGGAGTAGAGGCCACACTGCGCTCGCAGCCGACAAGAGGGCCTGCAACGCTTCATAGAGCTCCTTGACCTTGACGCAAGCTTCAACACCATCAAGAATTGGCGCATGCAGCCAGAGAATTTCACTGTCAGCGTTAAAGAACGGACGAGGCGACTTAGCCTTCGTGCTGAGCTTCTCTTCCCCGGGGGGGGGGGGGGTGGAATCAACCTGGCACAAATGGATTTTGCGCCGATGGATTTGGGTCGGCTGATCTCGCAAAAAGGCCGCGGCTCCTACCCAGAGGCATCAGCTTGAATTGGGCAGACAGTACGAATAATGCCGCAGCTTCATCCAGGTCTTTAACCTTGAAGCCTTGGGAAAATTTGCGTTGACTCCGTGGTCTCTGGACCTGGGTCACAATCTCGTTGGACTCTGCGAGCAATGGGCAGGGAAGAAGGAGACACAAGCAGACCTAACATCACGTTGGGGACTGTAGTTGCAAGCACGCACCCGAGGCACATGCGACAAAATCATATCGGACAAGATGTGTTGAGACGCTCGACCAGCTGTCGCTTTCTGCATCTGCAACCCGACCATTTTGGAAAATCTGAGGTGCACCACTTGGACCACCGGTGTGCACATCCCGTGGCTCGGGTAGCGTTTACAATTGCGATGAAACATCGATTTGAAGGGGCAATGACAGCAATGGCCTCCCCAAGCGCCGCAAGTCTCTGACTGACTGACCGACCGCAACCGCAACCACGCTACATCGCTACGTAGACGATGTCTCACAACTTACATGAGGCCGGGTTTTTGCGGTTAGTATTCTCCCAAGGAGCACCCTATCTGTACACAGGGATGACGGGGGGTCAACACTCTCAAAGCCCCGCCTAAGCATCCCCCCAAGCCGTGAACGGGCGCCCTTGCCCGTGCATTTTGAAGTCCGTAGCTTGCTTGGGGGTTTAGGGTTTAGGGTTTAGGGTTTAGGGTAAGCTGATGACTGCAAGTCCCCATGGCATGTTCGGCCTGAAGAACTCGCCTGACTCCTCCGCTGCAGGATTTGCCAGAACATCTTGTCGCTTGCCCTATAACGTTTTTTCAATGGAAGCCATTCCAGACCTGCAAGAAGAGAATCACCCAAAACCAACCTCTATTGAAACTCACAGCCATGACCGAAGATGAGACCACGTGCCGTTCTCGAACTCGCCAGCTAGAAGAGGATACGTCATCGTGTTTTTGATCAGGCGCAACAGAGAACAGCCCGGGCTCCCGGCGTCAGAGCTTTCGGGTTTGTCACCTGCCTGCAGGTATCCGTGAACGGCTTAGGGCTTAGGGCTTAGGGCTTAGGGCTGAGGGCTGAGGGCTGAGGGCTGAGGGCTGAGGGCTGAGGGCTGAGGGCTGAGGGTTTGGGGTTTGGGGTTTGGGGTTTGGGGTTTGGGGTTTGGGGTTTAGGGGTTCAGGCTTTGACGGTTTAGAGCTTAGAGCTTAGGACTTTCAAAAGAGAGGCTCGCTGGCCTGAGCGCTGCAGGGTGCTGCCACCTTTGCTTCCCGGCCTGTCGCTGCCAACACCTTGCAAAATGGAAGGGGTCTAGGGTTTTGGGTTTAGGGCTAGGGTTTAGGGTTTAGGGTTTAGGGCTAGGGTTTAGGGTTTTGGGTTTAGGGAATAGGGCTTGGTGTTTTGGGGTTTCGGGTTTGGGGTTTTGTCGATAGGGTGTAGGGTCCAAGGCTTGGAAACATGAAGATGTGTGGCCTTCAACTTACATGCTTGGATCCATGTGGAAAATCTTGGTAGAGTGTGCCTGGGGCCAGCTGTTCCATCACAAATCACAACCCTAAACCCTCTAAACCCTAAACCCTAAACCCTAAACCTTAAACCCAACAACTTAAAGGTTCAGGTTGTCTTCCACGGCCGCGGCTGCTGCAAGGAGCGCAGCAGCTGCGGATCCAGGCGACGGTCCCGGACTTTCCTCTCGTTCCCAGGGTTTAGGGTTTAGGGTTTAGGGTTTGGGGTTTGGGGTTTAGGGTTTAGGATTTAGGGTTTTAGGGTTTAGGGTTTAGGGTTTAGGAGGGTTTAGGGTTTAGGGTTTAGGGTTTAGGGTTTAGGGTTTAGGGTTTAGGGTTTAGGGTTTAGGGTTTAGGGTTTAGGGTTTCCATACATACAACATCTTTCTTTTTGTCCAAGCACCCATGCCCTAAAGAACATGGGCAGCAAGCAAGACAACATTGCAGCACCGACCTCATCCCGAGAGCTGCCAGTGCGAGGGAAGGACGAACTACTGGCCTCCGACAAGGCTCGAGTCAAGGGACTAAACGAGGGACGCCTATAAGGGACCTTAGCGGTTATCTAGGGGTTTTTTGGGGGATACTTAGGTATCTAGGGACTAGATAAGGTATATTACCCCCCAAATCTACGCTGCGCCAAGGGTCTTGACCTACGGTCTTGATGGGCGTGCGCGTGTTAGGCCTTTGTTGGGAAGTAGGTGAACACAAGCGCAACTCGTACTCAAAAAAAGAGAGAGTGCTGCGCGGAGGGGCATAACCAAGTTTGTTTCTGGGCTTGGTGTTGCGTGTGGTCCGTGGGTCTAAGCTGAGTCGCAACGAAGGCAACAGTCTGGCCGACTCAAAGACTGCCTGAGTCTGTTCATTCGATCGTTTCTGGGTTCCTTGTGTGTGAGCGACAAATTTCTCAGCAAAAGATTGCATCGCCTGGCATCTGTTTGAAAAAGAAAGGCCTGCTTCTTTCCAAACATGTCTCTCGTGGCCTGTTCTAGTTTAAGCCGCTTGGCAAAAGCCGTGCGTCTTAACATGGCACGTGATGAGGGCGCAGATTGTGTGCAGAGAGAGAGAGAGAAGGGGAGAGCGATAGAGAGGCGACACACAACAACTGTGGGAGAAAACACCCTTGCCATAAGAACCCAAGATACTAAATGGCTGCCCTCCTCCCAGGAGAGCCACAGCAACTTGTGGGCAACACAGGCTACGGTGCGTCAGCAAGCAGCTCTGGCATTCTCGTGCCGTGGGCGGGGGCACAAGCTGAGGGTCCCTGGGCCACTGCAGTTTCGTGCAGTGGGTCGGACACCGCCCTGTGGCTTCGGGAGGGGAGATGGCACAGGGCAAGCTGTAACCAACCTTGTCACCGACGGTGAAACGGGCTTCGAGTGGAGGCGTCCCGCGTGGAGGCCCCCGTGGGGTCAAGAGAGAAAACCACACGCTTCAAGAACTGCGGATGGCTTGGGCGACGACTCGTCGCCAGCGATTTCCGGCACGGATGGCACGGCAGACAGAGAGAGAGCAGGAGGGAGAAAGAGAGAGAGAGAGCAGGAGAGAGAGAGAGAGAGAGCAGGAGAGAGAGCAGGAGAGAGAGAGGGAGAGAGCAGGAGAGAGAGAGAGAGAAAGAAAGAAAGAGCGACTCGGTCGCCTCCGCAGGTGAACTTGCGTTTTGCGCTTGTGTTCGCTCCTCTCCGATACTGCGAATGCCGGCCACGACATCTCCAGCTGGACACTTTGGCACGTTGACTTCACGAAGTGTCGCCGTTCTGGCTACTTTGTTCTTTGAGGTCATGATGTATCTGGTTAGCGAACAAACTCAGAGACCGCTGTCAGGTTCGGACACCTCTTTTGTTCTCCAGAAGGTTTTTGTGCTGTTTGTTAACACTCTCGCAAATGACCTCAACATGATTCTGGCGAGCGTCCGTGCGTTCGGTGCTACCACTTTGACCCGCCCGAGCTGAAAGGTGCTGAGCTGCGCACGGTGCGTGTACTCAGCTGGTCTTCAACCTCACGGCACACAAAATCGCACACCGCAGTACACAGCATTGAGCTGGCGAGCTCTGTGGCCTTAGAGCCGCATGCCAAACTCAACCCTCGCAACCCTTTGCATGAACTGGCACCTCCATACCGCCATACATCCGACATGCCCTGCCTTTTCCTCCGGTGCCGCTGAGGCTGGAGAACCTTTGAAGACTAAGTGTAAAGAGTAAGGGAGTTCGAAGGATATCGATTGGGCACGCCATGCTCCCAAACCGTAAGCCCCGCACTTCTGGCAACCGCACAGGCACACTGTGCGGCACACATGCATCCGAGCAGAGCTCATAGCAGATGCGAGGGACAAGGGAAGGCTGAGGTTCTCCCTACTGAAAGCGTCAAGGCGTGGTTGACTTCTGCTTTGAAGCTAAACGTTCGAGGTCAAGGTTCTCGTGTTGTCAATGTGCAACTGCGCCCTGAGTTGGTGGAGCACGCTAGGGTTCAAGGCAGGTGTCATGCAACATCTCTAGGATGAGTACGACTGATGATAGAAAGAAGCCGGCCGTTTGACACCAGGGAGCACAACTAGCATGTCTGGTCATCGGATTCAGTCCAAAAACTCCCAAAGTCAAGCCGTTTGCTGAAAAAAAACAACCTCAATCCGCGAACTGAAAGAACAAAACATCAGCCGAAGTGACAGGGTCGGAGTTTACGGGAGAACAGAACAATGCAAACAAACGCATGCTCCGGCTTTGGGTACTTGGGGGGCAACGCGTGGCTGCTTCTAAACCCTAGACCCTAAACCCTAAATCCTAAACCCTGAATCGCAGCAAAACCCCTCTCTTACCACAGCATGAAGCTGCACCCAGCATGAAGCTGCTTTTAAGGCACTGCGCTCAGGGTTCCCAGTGTCCGATGCACTGCGCCTACATGCTTTATAGGGTTTCGGGGTTTAGGGTTTAGGGTTAAGTCTTAGGGTTTAGGGCTTAGGGAGAATCATGCCAGAGCATTTGTGGCTCCATGCTGGCCTCGCCGTCACTTTGGGCAACTCCAGCGTCGCAGATGTCTACAGTATCTACTCTGTTCCTGGCATCCTGCGCCCAACACATTAAACAGGCCCACAGCAAGGTCCAATGGAACAACTTAAAAATAAACGGAGCTTGCGGGCGCAGGTCGCTATTGAAAGTATACAATGCGTGACCTCTCGTCCGATGGTCCCAGGGTCGATTTCTCGGCAACCACATGTGCTCCCACCTTGGACAAAGTTGCCAAGCTTTACGCTTGCTTTGCGATGTGCGATCTTCAGAGCTGCATGGTAGCCCGTTCAGAGTTTGCTTTTGAGGCAAGACTTTGGACCTGCGAGCTCATGCTGAGATCCAAGCATCCACTGGCTTTGCAATCAGAATTTGACCTCATCAGGTGATCGAACATGACCGTGCAGGCAGGTCTCAGCATCGCCCTCATATGGCAGATCATGGCAAGTGAGCTCAGGTGACTGTGTTCGACAGCTACGGGCGGAGCCGTTCACAAGGCACTCCTCCCCGGCGGTCAGCATCGCCTGTGGTGAATCGCAATTGTGCGATCGGAGCTGCCGCCATGCAGAATAAATATCGCGGAAGTCATGCGCGTCATAAACAGCCTCCTCTCACACAAGAGTGAAAAGAGAGCCGCTGACAACTGCGACAGCTGGCAGCGACCTAAGAACAGCACTTTCGCGACATCCTGCTCAAGCTGATTGGAAGCCTTTGCAGCCGCGTCACATCCAGAGATCTCATGACCATGCTCAGCATGACAGAATGTGACACAATATATATATATATATATAGATATTTATTTATTTATTTATATTTATATTTATATATTTTTTTATTTATTTATTCATATTTATATATTTTCATTTAGATTTATTTATAGTTATATTTATATTTATATTCATATTTATATTCATATTTATATTGATATTGATATTGATATTTATATTTATATATATTTATCTCTATATATATATATATATATATATACATCTTTATTTATTTATTTATATTTGTAACAATAGAAATATGTTACATATAACATTAGCAGAGAGAAGAGACACAGAGCCCCTCAAGTTTAAGCGCGATGCCGACTGCGCGAGCACATCGCCCGTGCGGCCCTGGATCAAAGCCATGACCTCCGAAAAAGCACACAGAGACCACCGCTTTGTCCCTCCCCCCCGACATCCCCCATGGAATGACGGACGTCCCGGCCGCAGGGCCGTAGCCGCAGGCACAGGCGCCAGAGGCGCCAGCTGTCAGAGCCTTGAGATTCGTTCTTTGCACGCACAGAGACAGAGAGCGGAAAAGACAGAGACGGAGACAGAGACAAAGACAGAGACGGAGAGGGAGAGGGAGAGGGAGGGGAGAGGGAGAGGAAGAGGAGCGCGAGAGGGACAGGGAAATAAGGAGGAAGACAACGAAGGCCTGCGACATCCTGCCGCTGACCGCACAGAATTTTTCTCAGAGCCGAGACCCTGGCAGCCTGGGACACGGCTCGAATATGCGGAAACTTCTCCAGGATGGTTGGCCTCAGGAGGACAAATCTGTGGCATGTTCGGATTTCACATTGCAGTCTGCAGTCTGTGATAAGTGGCATCGCAAGGAAGTCTTCCGATGCCTGACAGTCAGACGCGACATGGCAAGATCTGTGGCATGAAGGATAAGCAAGGAAAACTTGCTTCAACATGAAGGATGCCCCAGCCTTTTGGAACTTGGCAAAATCTTGAGTCGCGAAGCAGTTAATCAGAAGCGCTGATCTTCCAACCTGATTGCGAAGACTTGATTGGCACTGCGGCGCACGGACTTTGACCGAATCATCCACAGGCAGAACCTTCCATACCACTAGGTATGCCCTTCGGATGAGCTTCATGATGAGCTGCCCAAAATCCTAAACCTTAAGCCCCCAAACCCCTAAACCCTAAACCCTAAACCCCTAAACCCCTAAACCCCTAAACCCCTAAACCCCTAAAACCACGAAGTGCAGGCCAGGGCACGTTGAAGATCGCGTTCCTCCGCTCCACGGTGTCCACGTCCAAGCTTTTGCCTTCCTCCTGTGGGCTCCAAAGGGTTTAGGGTTTAGGGTGTAGGGTTTAGGGTTTAGGGTTTAGGGTTTAGGGTTTAGGGTTTAGGGTTTTGGGTTTGCACAGTAACATAGATATGGCCCAGGGATGCCCAGGGTAAAGGCACTGCCAGTACCCTGCAGTTCCTTGGCATCTGGGACGAAGAGGCACAAAACAAGGCCGTTGGGAATGGGCACCTTGACCACTCGAAACAGCCCCTGGGCTTTTGCAAGGCTGCGCGATCAACATCTTGCAGCCGCACGCGGTGGGAGCGTGTCCCAGAGGAAGTCGGAATGCCAATCTGACAGGCCCACAAGAGCAACTCAAGAGGTGCATAGAGGGTGCCAATTTCATTTTCTCTCTTTTATTTCTTTTTTTTTGGGGGGGGGGAGTTACTATAATGAGGATGAGAATATCTGGGATTTTGGGAGAAAGCTTCATATCTGCAGCCAGCCTGAAGAGCTCCGTAAATGGCCGGGCACCTTGCGAGATGCGAGATAAACGGCAGACCCCTACAAGGCCTCGTGGGTTTTGGGGTTTGGGCTTAGGGTTTCGGGTTTAGGGGTTGGGGTTTCGGGTTTAGGGTTTAGGGTTTAGGGTTTAGGGTTTAGGGTTTAGGGTTTCGGGTTAGGGCTTCGGATTGATGCCAAGGGCACACGTTTCCGGGATTCCATCCACGGGCGATCGTCCTGAGCAGCACATCACCACACAAAGCTGAAACAGCAGATGGAGGTTAAGGCAAACTGAGCAACAGGCGCTTGAAGCAACGCGTCAACGTTTGATGTTTCACACGGGACCTGCAAACACAGGGCTTCAACTTAACCAGCAAACATGCGTGTGCGTGTGTGCGTGTGTGCATGTGTGATATAGCAAGCTGCGGCTGCAAAGTGTCCGGCCCCATCTGCAAAAGTTCCAGAACGCACCCTGACCAACTCCTGCGGCAAAGTGCTGCGCGCATTCAGCTTCAACCATCCGCATAACCACTGCTACCGCGAGTCGAAGCTCGTGGAGCGGAGCTCCCAAAAGGATCGAACAGATAACAGCGCCACATACTTGGGGATGCCGCACCGTCCTGCTCTGTTCTTGGCAGCTGCTTCGACTCCTGGCACAAGATGGCACAAGATGGCCCCGAAGACCCGAAGTGCAAGCTGTTTGGAGCGACGCGCCTCGGCAGAGAGCACGGAGGCTGCGAGGAAGCCGCCCACAAAGGAGGCGCTTGCCGCACCAAGGCCCTCAGAAGGCGGCCGGCTTCGTGCTCTGACATGCCTTCATGGCTTTCACCCCGCAGCACATGGGGGTATTCGAATAAACGGGACCTCCAAGATCTAGATCCCCAAATCATAGAATCCCCTTCTAACAAGGACCACAATAAGGTACCCCCAAGATCGGAAACACCCCCCCCCCCCCCGGTGAGCTTGAAGCACATGAGCTGCGGACCTTGTTAACGGGTATTCTGTGCTCGCAGATAAACCGCATGGGCGGGAAAGGTCGCCCGGCGACCTGGCTGGGAGCCAGCTACCGGAGAGATCAAGAACGGTCAGAGGTTTAGGGTTAAGGGTTAAGGGTTAAGGGTTTAGGGTTTAGGGTTTAGGGTTTAGGGTTTAGGGTTTAGGGTTTAGGGTTTAGGGTTTAGGGTTTAGGGTTTAGGGTTTAGGGTTTAGGGTTTAGGGTTTAGCACTGAGGGCTTCGAGGAGTTCTCTGGGGTATTATCGTGTATATATATATATATATATGTGCGGTAGAGAGTTGCCGCTCGCGTCTTCTGCCAACGCACAGTCCGCACAGTGCTACAAGCTCACACATTACATGCTAGCCGTTCTTGATTTTTGCTTTGTGGAGACTGCACTATAACAGAAGCATTGAGCCTTGAACGCCGCAGCAGCCCCTTGCACCACTAGGTTCGCCTCCGTGCGAGGCACCTCTGCTCAGAACAGGACTTCTTGCGTGGGCGCAGTTTCTCATGCCATGCCATGCCCCTCTTAATCGCCTCCGCGACATCGGAACCGCGGAGCTCGACATTGAAGTGGTCAGAAAATTCGAGTGTAAACTCATCCCAAATGTCAACAGCCTCGGAGGGTTTGGCTAGCAAGTGTCAGTTTGAGTCCTCCTTGTTCAAGCTGCCTCACCGTATGTTTTGAAATTTTGAAGGCTTCGTTAACATTCAACCCAAAAGAGGGATACAAGCCCTAAACCCTAAACCCTAAACCCTAAACCCTAATTCAAACACGAGCTAAATTTTCAGGCCCGATCCTGGCCTACTTTCAGCAACTGCCTCTACGTCAAAACAATCTACATGTTCCGCGCTTGTCTATGATTTCTGTCCAATTTGGGGGACCAATATAGACCCCAAATAGTAAGATGCCCAAAAAATAAGGATCCCAATAAGGTACCCCTCAGTTCGACTACCGACGGTTTAAACCCTGAACCCTACACCCTGAACTGAACCCTAAGCCCGAAACCCTAAACCCTAAACCCTCATCGCTCTCAGGATCCTGCCAGCCCAACCGTCTCCAGGCCAGGCCCCAAGTTGGCCACCGTGGCCGGAACGGAGACCGTAACGCGGCGCTGTGCTAGAGCAACCTCAGGGTTTGGGGTTTAGGGTTTAGGGTTTAGGGTTTAAGGTTTGGGGTTTCAAGATGGGTTAAGGGAGCTCTTCGACCATCTGAGCTCCATGGTGACACATGTTGCACGCGGTGTCTTCAAGCCAGCCAGGAGACAGAAGCGTGCATGAGCTTCTGCAATTCCTCCTGGGGGCATCTGGGAAGAACGCAGTTCCTAAAGGCATCTAGGAAGAACAGCGGATTGTGAGTGAGAATGATGGAGACCCCGCCTGTGCTGGCGTCGCCAAGCCGTACTTCTGGGCAAAGGACACAACTTCGGGCATGAGCCCATTGCCTCGCACATGCGCAGCAGCAAACGGCGCAACGAGCTCCCCAAGTTTCTTCTACGCCAAAGCACGCGCCTGGACTGCCATAGGCGGCAGACATGGCTCTTCCAGCACAAGGGACAGGTCACTACGGTTTTTCGCACGACAGGATGCCAAGTCGATAATCAGAGAAACGCTCAATGAACTCCCTGCTCTGCATTGACTTCGCCATGCCACCATTTTCGGCTAAATATGAGCTGCCCATCCTATCACTCAAGTTGCATGGCACAATATACGACATGCGACATGTGTTAGCCAGGTGCTCCAGGTGTGCCTCCTGCATTTTGTTCGACAGAGTGCAAGACGAGCGCTTGTATGAACATGGAACGAGTATCTCACAAGAGAAATCTCATCTGAGTGAGCTGCTCTTGCAGCTGCACGATTCGCGGGCTGAGATCCCAGGCACGTGGGACTATGGCAATGGCCATGCCAGCTAGCAGCATGTGCCCATGCCACCCATCGCGTGCCAGGATTCCAAAGAGTTGAGGCAGCAGACTTGAAGAGATTGAGGTCAGGCTAGGACCTTTGCACCCCAATGCACCTCCTACACACCTCCCTGAAAAGCCACCCATTCGACTCTCGTCTCTTCGAGTCAGCTGTCAAGGCGAACACCGTGAAGACCGTTGCGGAATGGGGTCCACCAGTCCTATAGCCTTCTACGGCCACGTTGGAGCCCAAAAATGGCGAAACTTCTGCGATTCGTCGCGCCTCTCGAGCCTTGTTGGTGCGCAGGGGACAGACACCACTCAGGAGCTCTGCAGCCTCTGCTGAACAAGCGCTGCCAAACTCGGCACAGTAGGTGCAACGTTGGTGCAACGAACCAGCATGTGAAACTGAATTACTGGAACGTGCTCAACAAATTCTGACAAGAGTCTCCGACAGCCCGATACACCTCTACAAAGGCTGCGAGACAAATTCGAGCCATTGGTGAACATGTCAAGTCCTCCCTTTCGAGCCCATGCCCATATCCAATCACAGCACCACCATCAACACTGAGGTGCTTCAAACCAATGAAACATTCGACATGCTCGCCAACAATCGCACTGGCCAGTGACACACAGGCATCATGCTTGGCCACTGCGGTCGAAAGACAAAATGCCACTACGTGGCACACGAGATCACAACATAGATCTTCACACGCAGGAAGATCAACTACACAGCTCAGTGCTAAAATATCAAGGGCGTGTCACCTGCAGGTAAGCCAGTCAGAAAAGCGCACCTTGGCAGAAAGCTGGAAATACAAGTCGCGTCGGGGGCATTCCGTGCCTTGTGTTGTGCCAAGCCACAGGTTGCTCGGGAGGCACGTTTCATCCATGCCTTTGACTTCAAAGAACTGGTTCTTAGTAGGGAATGAGGGAATGAGGTACCCTATGTATACCCTTTGAGGGACTATCTTGCTTACCTCATTCCCTCATTCCGACCTAAGAACCAGCCAGGTTCAAAGAAGACTCAGGCAAATGACGACGGCCGCGAGAGCCAACTGCATTTGAACCTAGAGACCATATCCCAGGCAGACCATCGGCCCCGCACATCAAAACATGTCCTCAGACAGCAGGAGCACCACCCTGTCGTTGCAACGCTTGTGCTCTCAACTAGCTGCGGCACCTGGTGAGAACTCCCTTGACATGTATGATTGCTTTCCGGAGTGTTGGGGAACTTCCTTCAAAGGTTGGCTTCTCGTCTGGTCCTTCCGGCTGAAATGGCATGAAAAAAAGTCAAGTCGGTTTTGTGGAAACCTATATCGGCACAGGGAGAAACCGCACTTGGGAGAAAGACCTGTGCTGCAGAGACAGAGCACGATGCGTTGACTGAGGCACGAAACAGCTACTGGTACGCCGAGACTGCCTAGGAGCCCAAGCAATGCAAAGAAACAAGAGAGGACCGGCTGTACGTGGTGTGGGAGACAGGGGGAAAGTGAGTCGGCTGTACCGAGCTGTGGCTAGCGGGACATGCATGCAGGCGGCAATACTTGACTTACCCAATCGGAGGCAGAAGCGCGCGCGCAGGGTGGGATGAAGGACAACGGCCAGCCCGGCCGACGGACAGGGCCAGGGCTGGGGATGGAGGGCAACGAGAAGGCAAGCGAGATCGGATGGATGGTCGACTGGCAGAGCAGGGGATGAAGAGAAACGGGGCGCGAGCGAGATGAGGTAGCGGGTCGGTCTTTGTGCTCATGTGTGTTAGCTGGGATTTCCATGCCGTGAGCTCTTCAACAAACTGATCACTGTGCCGTTGCCTTTGTTACGTTTTGCCACATGGGCTTTCGGGTTCCTGGCTGAACCTTGTGTCTGTCTGCAAGCCCTTTGTGTGCGTAGATGCGCTGGATGGGGGTTATCTGCAGAGAAGGTCGTGTGGCTCTTGTTTGTTCCAGCTTCACACGTCGCAGGAGTCAGCATGCAGGGCCATCCATGGACGACTTCCGGTGTGGAGGGGCCGTGTTTGCATTGTGCCGGTACGTCTCGAAGTTGTTCCTGTTGTTCAACATTGTTTTACAGAGATAAGAAAAGCGTACGGCCATCCGTGCAGCAGTGCAGGTCGAGTGGCTCGCCGAGGCAGAGCCGCTCTTCAGGCTGCAGCTCAAGGAGGCCCTCCATAAGCTCACAGAGGGAAGGTGACAACACCTGCCGTTTTAGGGTTTAGGGTTTAGGGTTTAGGGTTTAGGGTTTAGGGTTTAGAGATGCGGCTCTGTGCTCTGGAACCCATCGAAACACCACTGAGGGGAGCATCGATGTCCCGCACTGCCTGGACAATGTACGTCTTGGAGGAAGAACGGCACTTGCGATTCTTGAAGAACTCGTGGAAGCCCCAGGAGTGAATGAAACTCAGCTGCAAGCCGTCAGGTGCAGACGAACACGATGACCCCAAAGTTGTAGAACAAAACTTGACTACTATACTAGTATATTGCTTTAGTATACTCTTTTTACTACTATTTCTACTACTATTACTATACTAGCATATTACTATAGTATACTATTGCTACTAGTCTCTTATATTATGTCAGCCAGGGGACTCGAACATCCCGCAGGATCCTGCTTTAGTGCAGGTCCATGGATAGTCGCTGAGAGCCATGGCGTACAAAACTACCTGGGCGGCCAGTCATGGCTTTGGGGTTGAGGGCTTACTGATTCGCCCTCAACCCTAAACCCCGAACCCTAAACATTAGTAGGAGACTTCACAAAAACATCGCATACAAGCTCAAGGGCGCACGCCTGACTGCTTCCGCAGAGCTTCCGCACGGCTTCTGGCCCCGCTTACAATCGGATCATGCAACTGTCCCGCTTCCGCGGATGCTTCCGTGCCGGTGCGGGCCCCGCATTCCTTCCACCGCGAGCCCCGAACCTTAAACCCTAAAGCCTTGCAGCCTGGGTGCTCCGCAAGCAAAGATGTCCGCAAGGAACGCATCATACTCCATGTCCGTGTGCATCTCAGGGGCCTCATTTGTTGGGAGCAATGGCCGCTTCTCCCAACCAATGGACTTAGAGCTTCGGGTTTCGGAGATTTAGGGTTTAGGGTTTTAGGGTTTAGGGTTTAGGGTTTAGGATTTAGGGTTTAGGGTTTAGGGTTTAGGTTTTAGGGCTTAGGGTTTCGGACTTAGGGTTTCGGACTTAGGGATTCGGATTTAGGGTTTACGATTGGCCTGAGCCGGCTTCGCAAGGCCCCTTTCGTATCACCTTGCGCTTGGGTCCATTTAGATTGTAGATCCCGTTTTTCTTACTGAAGATAACTATAACCAACCCATGTTTCCCATTCGACTCGCCCTGCCCAAACAAGCCCTTGGAGGAATCTTGGAGCCCTTGCAAGCCCTTTGAGCCCCAAAATCTGAAACAAATCCGGGGGGGGGTTCAGGATTCAGGGTTCAGGATTCAGGGTTTAGGGGTCATCTCGCATGGCCGCCCTTGCAGGTTCTGACCCTTGCCCGTCTTTTGGAAGCCTCGAACCCGAACTCCTAAATCTCTAAGCCTCAACCCTAAGTCATAGATCCTAAATCCTAAGTTCAAGCTCTTACTCCTCTTGCAGGCCCTCCTATAGGCCCTAGAGGAGCAGGCTCTTGGAGATGCGATGCAGACCTTGCACCCCAAACCCTAACTCCAAAATCCCGCGCGTGACGCGCGTGACGCGCGTGACGCGCGTAATGCCGGAGCCTGGGAGGCCCCCTAAGCCCCGAATATCCGAAATCCAAAACCCCAATGCCTAAATCCGGAACCCCAAATCCTAAACCCAAAAGCCTTGGTTCTAAAGCCTCAACCCTAGATACTACATGCTGAACCCTAAGTCCTAGATCCTAAACCCTACATGCTGAATCCTAAACGCTGAACCCTACATCCTAGATCCCAAAACTCCTAGTCGGCCAAACTCAGAACACAGCCCCTTTACGGTTTTCAGTATACATAGGTAGAGACAGAGAGGGTTTAGGGTCTGGGCTTCATAGGTTCCCACTGCCCCAGCCTGGTATGCCTGCTTGCCACGAACTTCTGCCCTGCAGCGCTGCGACCTCAGTTGAGCCGACTTCACTGAAACAACAACTGTCACCACATTTCCACCACTGCACCGTACAGCACTCTCAGTTTCGCCTTCTTTGGTCCCATCTACAATGACAAGTTTGGCTTAAGCAGGCACATGCAACATGTTGGCGGAGGGTCAGGCGGGTTCCACGTTAAAGACCAGCTTCCCGCACGTCCATGAAAGAGGCCCAGTTCTCAACTGTACACGGAAGGGGAGGGGAACGCATAAAGGAGCAGAGCACAATACAAAGCTAACCCTATAGCCTACACCCCAAACCCTCATCAGCCTGGGTACAGAGTAGCCATGCCAAAGTCGATCACCTTGATTTGTGGTCCTGGGGTGTGTTTCTACGCGGCGGCAAAACTTGAACCAGTGCTTTCAAGCGGCCACGTGAGCTGCAGTCGTCTGATGTGCTGTCATGTGTACCTTGCGCATGAAGAAGCCTTCCCCACGGGCCTCCAGCTCGATCCTTCGTCAGCAGTATGTTCTCCTCGGCTTTAGAAGCGGGCTAGAAGACTACTTCTGCAAGGACGACAGCTTCCCCAACGACCCTCTTGACAACCAGACTGTCTGCAGCACTGCTATCACCCAAACAGTTTAAACGATCAAGTCATGGAAGGGAGTGGCAAAAGTACTGTTGACAGCTCGCCTTTTCGCATTTCACATGCACACCCGAGACCCAAACCCCTCAAACCGCCCCAACATGGAGTTTCTTGGTGCAGCATGGGGCTAGTGAGATGTCACGATGCGCAATTCCAAGCTCATGCAGCGCTTTCACGGCTGAGAACCTCGGTCTCTTCGCTTCCAGTGCAAGACAGATACGAAGGAACAGATTGTCCAAAATGCAATCTAGGCACACCTGCACCATCATCGGACGAATAACGCCTTAATGCAAACTTGCAACTAAGTTCCTAGTTGCTTACCTTGCTTCCTTGCGCTGCGCCCCCCTTCCGAATTAGGAGTTATAGGGTTTGGGTTCTAACGCAATTAACTAGGTTTTAGGGTTTCACCTGTTTCTCCTATGTTGCTTCTTGCTTTTCAACATCTTCCACTGCAGGGACAAAGGTCGATCATAATCGGGCAAGGGTTTAGGGTATTAGGGTGCGCGTGGACGCGTGCGGAGAGAGCGCCTTTCTTCGGATTAAGTGGCACACTCCACGCGCTCGCGCCGCTTAGTAGCCCCACCCTCCACCCCCACTACTCTGATTCACGGGTTGGGTTCCCCCCCCTAAATCCTAAACCTTAAACCCCAAACCCTGCGCCGCAGCCCCCACAGTTCTCACAGGCCTTTGGGAAGACCTTGAGATCCCTGTGACTTGAGACCCCCGTAAGGTCTTCATGAGAAGGCCGTAGCTTCTCAGAGCCTTTTCCCCACTGGAGTATTCCAAGCAATGCTGTGGTTCGGCTATCGCTTCCTGCTAGTCTCTTGTGGCTGCTGGGCATGGGCGGCACGGCATTGCAATTCCTGGAGAAGCCGAGCTGCTCTCACGTTCCTTGCCAGGAGGGCAAGCGGCATGCTCCACCCAGTGGAAGAGGTCACCCTCAGTCGCCAGCCTCCAGGGCGCCACGTTCTGACGCCCAATGAGCGGGTGAGAGCTTTCATTCCCGAACTGAGCACCCAACGATGTCGCCACATACGTGAAGTCATCGTCGCGAAAGATGCCCATCAGCGCACATACATGCGGAAACCTACCGAAACTTGCGGTGAGAGCGTTCCAAGCACGGTGCCACCCGGACCCTCCCGAAGAGATGAAGCTAACGGAAAATCATCAGCAGACTATGCCAAGCCACTGCAGCGCATTGAGGTACCGGAGCATCCCAATGTCGACCCAGGGTTTCTCTGAACAGCGCGGATTGCTCTCCGCAAACCTCGTCATTGCAGGCATACCGATCACACGAGCAGCGTGTGTGCCTCCCGCCGTGTCCACTTGGGTTGGAGCTCGCAGTGTCCCTTCTTGATCCACCTGTCACAACTGTCCTAGAAACTAACTTGTGCAAACTTGGACAGATATGCTGCGACCTGTTGGGTAGCCGCTTCACAACCAAGGCGAGGTTGTCGGCTTTGCGCTCAACTGACCCCACCGAAGCTCGACGTTTGCCGGCCTCCTGCACGAATGCTGTGCCTACTCCCCTCCCCCTAATATTAAGCCGGCCCTACCCCCTAGCATTCAACACCCCCATTAAAGTTACATTATATAGTACATGGGGGGGGATTAAATATGAGGGGTATGGGAGGGCGTCTACTATTGGGGGGAAGGGATTACTCTGTCTGTCGTTGCTTCACCTCCTCCACTTCTCCACTTTGTTCGCCCCTTTGCGATGACACCCCAGGCCAGAGCAGGGAAACGCCACAATGTGTGGCTTCAGCCGTCGGGCTAACCCCAGCTTTATATACAGAGAGATGTAGATAGATAGATAGATAGATAGATAGATAGATGGATAAATAGATAGATAGATAGATGGATGGAGATACACATGATTCTATACATGTTTACCTTCAAAACGAACTGTGAAGACCATCTGAGGAAGTTGGTGGGCATGGTGTTGCCGCAAAGGCTGCGGCACATCGAAGGTCGTGGAAGCGGCGAAGTGCTTTCACAGCTTTGACATAGTTCGAAGGCGTCAGCCCCTGCTTGCTGTGCACCACGTTGTCGTGAATGATCTTGTTCATTTTCATGTAGTAACAGGCCGGTCGGTGCGGAGGACTGTGCATTCACTGCCAGTCTTCCTTGTAGTCTTATATTGATGCTTCTTCCTTTGCTATTCTTGAAATGCAGTCTACTGCTACTGCTAATGACTACTCTTTTTCTACTGTACTTTCTGCTGGATGGGAACAAAGTTGAAGGACACCTGACGCGGAGCCCTGGCGACTCGTGTTCGTGAACACTGCGGGGCATGAGGATCCCTTCTGAGTCCTGCAGGGTCGCAATGCTTTTCCACCTCAGGCTGCTGGTTTCTCCAATCTTTGCAACCAGTCCTGTTGTTAAACAACCTGTCTTACTTGCAAGCGAAGCACTCATCTGGAATCCATGGTGCAATTCTGGATGCTGCACCTTCCATGACCTGCTTCTGCAAATCCGACTCCACTTTCCCCCGGAGCTAACTGAAGCAAACCCAAATGCCCTTCCCCTCTTTGACCTAATGCTCCTGTCCCAAGGCAGGAGACTGCGCGCAATTCTTGTCTTCTTGGTCTGCTTCTGTCCGGAATGTGGGATGGCAAGACAGTGCAGCACATCATCACAACTGCGAAGAACACCCAGCCGCCCAGCCTGTTCTAGCATCTGCTCCGTGAGTACTTTGCCACGTGCCTCAGCACGTGCCCTAAACCCTAAACCCTAAACCCTAAACCGAGACGTCTTTCAATCTGGCTTGGCATGGTTTTGCCACGATTCCTCCGCAGTCCAAGTTTTGTTCGGCCGACCATCCCAACCTCGGCAACAGTGGTCAACGAGTCTTATTGTTATTATTATTATTGTTATTATTATTATTTTTGCTATATTGTTCTAGTTTTCGATTAGTACATTATCATCACTGCACTTTTGGTTTACTCTGATATTAATGTATCGTTACATGTTTAGATTGTTAGTATCTTTCTCATTGGACTCTTATATCCCTACACATTCTTATGCTTTTATTTTGTCAATTTTGCTATTTGTATTTCTGTGCTATAGTAACAGCACTTAAACAATACTGGTCTCCTTTTCTCAGCAAAAACATGCTCGGAGACTTGGACTTGCAATATGACCACTGGAATCGCAGCCCGCAGAAACTGTGAAATTCTTCAAGATAACAGAAGGCAGGCAGCGTGATGGGCTTTCACTGTAAAAACACTTGAGAGGGAAACCGAGGCCAACGAAAGCCAGCCCAAATGCGCCTCCCCCCCCCCCCCTGCGATCGCGGTTCTCAAGACTCAGACCAGCAGGAGCCTACTACAGCCCGTTGCACGCCCGGCAGCAACACGCCAGAGGTTGGCAGCTGAACCAGACAACATTGATCCCCCCCCTGGAAGAGTAGACCCCCTCGAAACAATCAATCTAAACCCCCCCAACACCAAGACTGACTAAACTCAAGACTAGCTCCCGATGGCAATCGTGACATGGCAGATGCTAGCACAGCAGAGAAACACATCCCTGCATCGGATTGCTGATGAGGCCAGAGAACAGAAACTGCCCTGGTGATTGTTTGTCTCGTAGAAGCACATACGGAAAGCCAGCTTTGTGTGCAAGCTGCATTTTTGTTGTTTTGAGTTTTTGTGTGTTGGCTTTTCAGCCCATTCTCATCTTCAGTGACAACGTGCAAACAAACGCACCCTCCCGACAAGTGGAACGTGTTCCCTGCTTTGCTTCCTTGTGTCTTACCGAGCCCCGCAGCTTTCTCCACATGCTTCTCCTAGCTTGCAGTGCCCCCAAGTGTCCCCAAAACCCGTACCCGAGAGCCTCACCTGTCTTTGCAACATATCTTACAAGATGATCAAAGTCAGCTCGGGCCCGTACCAAAACATCCGCATCGCCTAAGAAAGATCAGGGAACCTACACCAAGAAAGCAAACATCTCATCGCAATGGCACTGCGCATGCTGCCGCGATGCAGCAGAAATGGAATCTGCTTGGCCATGGGAAGGGCCAAGAGAAGCTACTCCGGATAAAAACGGGCAGAAGCTAAGTTTGCTCTGAAATGCTTAGCCCAATCATGGAAGAACTGAACAGCTAGGCATGGCTCGACAATTCGATCACGTGCTCAACACCTAGCGAAACTCCCCTTGAAAAAGTCTGCGAAGCTTGGTTTCCGAATCTTCGTCTCTGAACCCTTCAGCTGAGGCAGCAAGATTCTCACGCACATGGCAACAAGAGGGCCTGCCTCGAGCAATGGTGACAGTTGGGATCATTCAGCTGGGCTACCAGCATGGTGCCCCGGAGGGTTTTTGGTGTTATCTGCCCTAGCAGCTGCTTCAACACACATACACCATGACTTGCTGCAAAGCAGGGGTGCTGCTGAAGCAACAACGAAGGTACAAAAACTCGAGCCAAGAACCTTGAGCTGTTGCATGCGACTGCTCTACACCAGCCCCCCTGCTTAGCACCCAGTCATGCTGGCATCCAGTCGGCAGATGCTTGTAAGTTGGGGCTTCTTGCCACCTAAACTTTTTGAAGCCATCCATCATGGATGGCACAAACACTTCACAGCTGGAGATGCGGATCCTTGCCTTTGAAAGGTGAGAAATCGCTTGAGCTATATTGCTTCCAACCTTCTTCACCTACACACCTATCAGATTTTGCAGGCGCCTTTGGATCCCATCTCTAGCTGACCTAGCATGAGCTAGCTATGAGCTACCGCGCAAACTCAGCCACGGAGGAACTGCCTACTGCAAGAAAACCGCCAATGGCCTGCGTTCGGCACGATTCTGGAAAATGCTCACAAGCACTTACTTGCCCCTTGCACCGGGAAGCAGCTCTGGAAGAGCTGGTGGTTTACGAAGATAGGGACCGCTAAGTAAAACCCCGGCTGTCTTTGCCTCTATGATGCAATCAACTCCACCCTGAGGCTGGAGCTGTATCTCAGCACTTGCTGATGCCAGCTGCATCACGGCCTCGGAACACAGAGTTGTAGCTGTAAATAAAACTATAATACCACAGAATGCGACGATGCAAGAATACAATAATACCATAATGCAATAACGCAGCAACATGAAATCACGATACATAATGACAGAATAGCGCAATAGCACAATAACATAATGACATCATAACATAATCAGCCGAACAACAAAATAACATAACGACCGAATAGCATAATGACATAATAACATACTAAAACTAATAACAGAACAATATAGTAGCATAATCACAGCTTAAACAAACAAAAATATATATATATATATATATATGATTGCATACCAATACAATCCAAACATGTATAACCTGAACGCGGTTGCGGACAGCCGTCTGAAGACTCCAGGCCAACCCCCCCACCAACTCCTGTTGCCCTTACACCTCGAGAATAGGGAGTCGCATTTGGAATGGAATTTTAGGGTCTAGGGTTTAGGGTTTAGGGTTTAGGGTTTAGGGTTTAGGGTTTAGGGTTTAGGGTTTAGGGTTTAGGGTTTAGGGTTTAGGGTTTAGGGTTTAGGGTTTAGGGTTTGGGCGAGGTGAAGAGGTGGGTGAACGTCCCATTCAGGCGTGGACGCCGCCAAGAACTGGCTTCAGGGCCGCTTTCGCCGCTGACTGCAACTCGGGGACCTCGGCAGAGAGGGTTTAGGGTTTAGGGTTTAGGGTTTAGGGTTTAGGGTTTAGGGTTTAGGGTTTAGGGTTAGCGTTTAGGGGTTAGGGGTTAGGGGTTAGGGGTTTCGGGTTCTCACGAACATCTTTCCCTTAAGCCTTGCATGTACTCTGAGCTGACATCACTGTGCGCACTGTGCTCATGTCCGCTGCTCCGAGGCACGTCTGGCGCCAGCCCGGCTGCTGCACCAGGGAGGTCGGTATTCTGAAGCTTGTTGAAGGCAACCTCATACCTAGAACGGCGGTGGTGGTGGGTAGATCATGGCGAGGATCCGTTCTCGGTGAGATCTGATCTGGGATGCCGGCTCCTGACCTGCACCTCCGTCTTCCAAAGGCTCGTCATCTGATCCTCGCGCTGGGGAAGGCGCAGGATGCGCCAAGAGAGCACCAACCTCCGATGTTTAACCGATGCGAGGGGCCCTCGTCGCCATTCAACTTGGACTTGTTTGTCGAGGACAAGCCCAGCCTCAGGACCATCCCCTTCGCTCCCAGCATCCACGTAGACATGCTGCTGACTGACGCATGCTGGGCAGTGTTGCGCCAAGTCACAAGTGCACAAGGCCAACAGCACAAGCGCCGACCAGTTGCGTGTTCCTGAGCCCACAGAGTTGAGCAACAGGTTCTGGATTCCAGGGACATACTGAATAATGTAGGCAATATAGTAACATAACAACAAAAAATAACACTCTATACGTATATATACATATGTATTGCTATTATGACTTCATGGGACACTGGGAAGCCGGACTGCCTCATCTCATCTAATGACAAGAGCTTGGCAACTGCCATCACGCACACCTGCGGCCCAACAGCAGAGACAAGTGTGCCACAGAACGGCTCGACATCCGAAAGTTGGGATGTTCCCCTTTCTACGAAGCACTAACAGTCCGAAATAGTGATTAGAGGAGGTACTAGAATTCCTATGAAGGACTGTTAGCATAAGGGGGAACATCCCAATCCTAAAGCGTAGGAGAGAACCGCGGGAGAGTTCACTGCACGCCAGCCTTGCGCTCATCCGTTCGCAGTGGCATCTTCAGCACGGGCGGCCAAACATTGAGCACAAGGTTGCTCAGCAGGCCCGCCTGCGTGAAAACGCAAGAGAATGATTCTGTGCCGTTCTCGTAGCTTGATTGCGAGCCGACGGGTGCGCAAGCTGCTAGCTTAAGCGGCGGCGTGCTCAAAGGGAGCCGATGTTAAAACCTACGCACAACCCGCTGCGGCCCAGGGCAAACCCCCATGCAAATCGAGGTGGCAAGCATACCCCTACAAAGCGGCCCATGCGACTTATGTGACACAGGGGCTTTCAGCTGCTCAGCAGGATGCGCTACTCTACCCTATGACCCTTAAAAAGGCCCTTTCAGAATGGGCCACTATACCCTATAAACGCCTTAAAAAGAGCCCTTTTGTAGAGTTGATTCTAGCCCATCCTGGCAGTTAGGCCTGAATCTCATTGAAGAGTGGTATAACGGCCTGGTTCTTGTGGATGCAAAGCCTCGGCCAACAGGGGATCTGCTGGGTGAAGAAGAGCTTCAGGGCTTAGGGTTCAAGGTTTAAGGTTTAGGGTTTAGGGTTTAGGGTTTAGGGTTTTGGGTTTTGGGTTTAGGGTTTAGGGTTGTTTAGGGTGTAGGGCTTAGGGTTTCCACAGCTTGTGCAGCAAATTCAAGGCTGCGGCGAGCAGGAAACAACAAAGTCCCGCTTGAACTTTGGTGACTTGCTGCTTTGCAGTCTAGTCAACCTTATCAGAAAGAAACGCCAGTTGGACAGTCTTGGACCAGATATTGCTGCAAGAAGTGTATACAACCACCTGCTGGTAAGATCGGCACACAACGGTCAGCAGCGTCTTCAGGAACGGCTGGTAAAACTCAATGGGCAAATACTGATACATCGCGTTCAGCCTTGGCAAGACAAGGAACCCAGAGTCTTGCGGCTTGCCATCAAAGCGTGCAAACACATGCGCGTGCGCGTCTGAGCCGAGCACAAGTCGAGGGCTGCCACCTAGAGGCGCAAGATGGCAAAAGATGGATGTTAATTAAGCCCCCCCAAGCCCTCTGAATCCTGAACCCTAAACCCTAAACCCATACTTGGTTCGGGCTTCAGGGTGAATGCTGGCGTGGGCCTCGGTCTTCCGATTCATCAAGACGAATTGGAACCGTTCGAGGATCGCCTCAAGTCGTTTGGGGCTTGGGGGCTGAGGCTCTTTGCAGGTGCGCGCACTGCGTGCGCCTGCATGTGCGTCCTCAGCAGCTCGGCAAAACCAGCATGCTTTGCAAAGTATGCACCTCGGCAGCACACATTCTTGTGACATTCGAAGCCATTCGAAGCACGTCGGAGCCGCAATTCAACCCAGGCACGCAGAAGTCGAATCAGGCCCGGCACGTTTGCCTTTCGCAACACAGAGAGCGCATCTGCTCACGTGCGGCACTACCAGCTCCACTTTAGGATAGCCTCATTCGGAAAGGTGAGTGTGGCTTTCGTGGGTCGTTACAACTTGACACTGCCTTAGCAACTTTAGTATCCAGAGCTTCGAATTCACTGGCCAGTGCCGGACATCGAACTGAGGACAAAATGTTGACCACTCAGCTGTTGTTTCATCTGCTCGAGGACGAAGAAGAGAACTTATGAGACTCTGCACTAAGGCTGGCAAGCGGGGGCCTGGGCACGCCAAAGCTCCGGAGTCAAGAGCCTTAATGCCCAAGCTGTGACACACTGCGTCATACTTCTTTACATATCTCTATCAAAGACCGCCTAGAGCGCCAAAGCCGCAAGCCCCTGACCTTGCAAAAAGCTGCGTGTAGAGGGGCTTGATGCTTGGCGAAGCCTCAAGGAAAGCTGCTCTCTGCTGTGTCACGAAGGCAAGCCTTCTTTCGGGATGGTTGGTGTCTGAAGGTTTTCCAAAGAGCCGATGCCGAATGAGTGCATTCCTCCGCTGAGGCTGGCACGTCAAGCAGCAAGCCCATAATCTGAAAAGTGTACCTCAACATGAAGCATCAAGAAGACAAGCATGACATTGCTGCCGCAACTGAAGCCACAAGAAGAACAAGCACAGCATGCCTTTGGTCCTCAAAGCGACCGGGTGCCGCACGGCAAGAAATCCACCACGTTCCTTTCCTGCCGACTAGACATCTCTCAGAAGCACACAAGTAGTCCGGGTCCTACAGATCACGGATCTGCACAGGTCTAGCTGCTTGGACCCCGGCAAGAATCTGCCCGAAGGTGGGCAAGAGTGCGCTTTCCACCTCAAGGGATCTCCGAGCTTCCCACCCCCAAAGCCTTAAACCTATACCCTGAACCATCAGAGCACAGCGCACACACACACACACACACCAGGGGCTCTGGCAGCATCAGGCTGTGCTGGTACACACACTTTGACAATTGAGGCGACTGCCTGACCAAGTGCACGACACAGAAGGGTCTAGGGTTTCGGGTTGAGTGCGTTTGCAGAGCTGCTGCACAAGAATCTGAAACTCTTGCAGCTCGTGCCTCAAACAAATAATGATTGAAAACAGGATTCGAAGGATTCGCTGACATCGCCAGGAGGATGGCTGACAGCGGGCTCAGCCTCAGCATCGACTTGGGGGGCCTTATTGGGGGGCCCTTATGATAAGGGAATCCTACTATTTGGGGGTCTGTATTTGAGGGTCCCCCTATTTCGTATACTCCCATTTTGCAGGCCTAAACCCGGGCCAGCATCGAGGTATGCTCGACTCGATTCCTCTCGAACGTCGTCGTTCACTCCGGGCCAAGGAACGTTGCCAGGCCGGTCTCGGCGCCCTGTGCAGGTTTCAGGAGAGTAGAAAACAGCCGGTGCCGTAACGAAGGACTTGTTCTAATGTCTTTTGTGATGCATTGCCAACTCCGGGCCTGCTGCTTTAAGAAACTGAAGATTCGAGCGACTGTCCTGGTGGGACGGGCTCATCGCAAGCAAAACACAGCACCTTTCTGCTGACATGCAGAGTCAGAGCCCACATACGGTTCGACACAAAAAAAAACGGAGGGGGGGGTGGGGGGGCGGTGGTCCGCATGAGGTACTCGTTCATGGGGATGCCCTGCGTTCGGCTGCACACTTGCAAGCGCTTGCCGTCCACGACTTTGAATGCTTTCTTCGTTTAGGGGAGAAGCCGGCATGGGCTGGCCTTGCTGCTAGCAATGATCTGCAGAATGGGCTGCACCATTTGGAGTAGCTGGCCTTTCATAGACCTGGCAGGTTGTGCGACTCATTAAGCAACAGCCTGGAGCAACAGTGCATATCTTCTCCTCGGGAAGGATCTTTACCATGCAAGGCATCTGGCTGAGGCAGCAACGCTGGGTCGTAGCGAGGTGCCAGCTGGCCCTGCAAGCAGTGCCGCACTTCCGCCATCGTGCGAATGCAGGAGTTTGCTTGTGCACACTTTTCGCCGCGTCGCTCGAAGCAGCGTCTTTAGAGGTACGTCCAACATGTCCGCCGCTCAGAACGTAAGCCGCCCGCAGCGAAGCGCGGTGCCAATGTCCAGATTGTGGTCGCACCTTGACGCACCTTTCCTTGCTTCAGCTTCCCCTTCGACACTACGGTGAGGCCATCTTTGTGCACTACGCCGCCTCCTGCGTCAGACTTTTCGCGTACTCTTCCTGGGACATTGCCACAGGCCGCAACTTTCCGTGGAGATCATCCCAGGGCTGCCAGTCCAGGCACACCTGACCCGAGAGGAAGGGCTTGAGGCAACTGTTGGCCTAGACCATCACCCTTGCCTCGTCATTCATCAAGACTCGAACGCTGACAGCTCCATCACACTGAGCCGTCTCAAGCCTCAGAATGTGCAAGACCCTAAACCCTAAACCCTACACCCTAAACCTAAACCCTAAACCGTAGCATGCTCCTTGTTGAGGCTGGATTCAAGTGCCAGATTCCATTCTTGCTGAAGTGGCTCAGGACCTAACACACCGAGGTTCCGGGCTTAGGTTTGCCTCAGGGTCACAGCTAGAAGTTGGAAGCCCAGACATTCTTTCGCGTCAGCGCCGGGTTTCAAAGAAAAGAACAAACTGAAGCACCACAGCTCGTACGGGCGCCGAGAAGCACGACTTGTGAGGCGTAAAGAGGCCACTGCTGCTTGTAAATTCCAAGGGCAATGAGAAAGGCCGTCAGCATGTTGTCGTGCGCCAAGAGCAAAGTAATCCCGTGACCAGGTGAGGCAAGGACGTCTATGACTTCCTGCACGATGTCGACAGGAGCAATGAGCTGCGGTTTAAGGTTTTGAGTTGAGGGTTTAGGGTTTGAGGTTTAGTGTTAAAAGTTTAGGGCTCAAAGAATGGTTTAGGGTTTAGGGTGTGAGGTTTTAGGGTTTAAGGTGAGCACAGTTCGCTTGCCAATCGGCTTCGTGGACAGATTGGACACATGCCTGCACAAGACGACCGCTGCCCAGACGCAACAGCTCGAAGTCGGAGTACACGGCAGCCTGCTAAACCCTAAACCCTAAACCCTAAGAACCCAGGTGCTGTGTGGCACTCTGGCCTCCAGCGATGCCTGATAGCTCTCCACCAGATGCGCAAGGTCCCAGTCGACGCCCTGGATCTTCCCCACGACGTCTTGATGCACGCAGTGTGGCTTGAAGTCCAGCACGGCATTCCTAGAGCAACAGATCCCACTCACAGCACGAAGTTCACAAAACCAAAGCCTTCGGCACCGACTAGCCAGATAGAGTGAGATACCTTTTAAGAATGCAATCCAAGGTCAGAGGGTCCTCTCCAATCACTGGAAGTAACAGGGTCTCCAGTCTGTGGCGCATCTCCTTTAGATGTGTCGCCTTTGCCTTGGACCTGGCAGCCTCACGGCCCTGAGCAAATCTGCTGCAGCGGCCATCGTAGTTGGGTAGTAAAGTCTGATCCTTCGGGCCACGCACCCGCACTGTCGCCAGAGACGATGTCTCAGTCGACCCAGTTGTGCTGACAGTGCACCCGAAACCGAGCAAAACGCAGGCAGCTGATTGGATTGTGCGTGGGAAGTCCTTGCGACAGCACTCCGGCACACCACTAGAATTACGTATTGCAGTGCTTAAGCATAGGGACTCTTCCGGTGACACGTACTGCTGAACCATATTGCGGAGTAGCGTGGCAAGTAGTAGCACATGTCTGCCCAGCAGATAACTGCTTGTGCACTATGACCATTACTTCCAGCAGGGGAGTCATCTTTGGGCTGAGGTGCCAGGAAGCTGTCAGGAGCCCGGTTGGTGGGGGGGATGGGGCGGTTGCGGCCCGACAAGACATGGGGAGTAAGGGTGGAGGTTTCGTCCTGCCGAATGCTGTATCGACATTTCTTGAAGCTTCATACCTGATTTACGAAAGGGAGAAGCACCGCTCTGCTGACCACATTCACCGTTGAACATTATGGCTGAAGATTCTAACAAGGATCGGTGCTGAAAGCACGGATTTCGGAATCACCATATCGCCTTCGCAACTCTGCTCCGGCTTTGCGGCACTGCTGGAAACCAAGTCCGGTGAGCTGACCAAGACTGCCTGCAGCTCAATCTGTTCAGCAGACCTCCAAATCTGGACTGTTCGTTACCAATGCAGCCCCTGAAATCAACCCTAAACCCTGTATACCCTAAACCCTTAACCCCTGAAATCCACCCTAAACCCTAAACCCTAAACCCTTAACCCTGAATCATTCTGCCTCAGAGTTATGTGGGTGGCGGGGGTCGAAGGCCAAGTAACCCAAGACCCTCTCCCACTCCGGGGGTCTCCTGGAGATGAGGCATTCTCCGAGATAGATGGACACCATAGGAAGCACTAGTTTGTTGTCGATGTTTGTGAAGTTAGTAAGGGGTCCCTCGAGTGGGTTTGAGGTTTAGGGTGTACAGTTGCGGAGCTTTCGGAACTCTTACAACTCTTAGTTTCCTGGGTGGCCCTGTCCATTTTCGATCTGTTGCATACATGTTGGGCGCAAAGCATGCCAAAGCCAAATTTACGAGAACGTGGCAAGTCTGCGAAGTCTTGCGTAGGTAAACTACGGAATGTTGGGGCATGGATCCCCCCTGACCAACTATGTGTTTAAACGCCGTGGGCTGAGACTAATGTGAATGATGGCTTGCATCAAAGGAACGACTGATAAGCGTGTAAGTAGCTGACTCATATAGCTGACCTCCAATCATGTTAACCAAGTACATGAAGTGATTTTATTTGGGTGGGTTCATAAAATCAAAATATGATTCTTCGATTCTGTTTGTTAAATGAAGGGAATGCTTTTGCTAGGTTGGACCTGTCACAGGCTCATCAAAGTTTGGCGCAGGGCTAGTCTTTGTGTGTAGTAGGGGCCAGTTATACTCATTGCAACATAACAAACATGGCTCACCTCTGCAGTTTCATATTCCTTCCCCCCACATCCACACATAAGGAAGTAGATAGTCCAGAATCAGAGGTCAGTTCTGCTTCTTAAGATATTTAAATAGCAGCCGGTGGAAGATGAAACAGAGTGCAGGACAGCTATCGGGATAACCGATGAGCCACGTGAGCTACGGGGCCGAGAAGAAAGCCCCAACTGACCTTCGACTGAATCGACTTCCTGAAGCGGTTGGGGGGGGGGGGGGGCCGGGGAACGAGTCTAATCAAAAGAGTCCATCTAGAAGCTCTATTCATGCATTCCTGAAAAAATTTTACAACTTTCCAGCGCCTGATGGTTCAAGTAAAGTGCGAACCACATTTCAAGCCGTGGGCTTTTCTCCATTAGTTGATTTTGTGCATAAGGAATCATACTTGTCTGGGAATGAAGCCGCAAACGGTAAATCAATGGTGGGGAAGCATACTTTTGGATATACACAGAGTTCCACGATCTTCGTGCAGTTTCGAGGCCCTGTCCCACGAAGCGGGCATATGCATGGTGTCCACCTTCGCTGTCTCGTTCCACGCGAACTCCACTCACTGCGGAGAGCTCTTGGGCAGTCGGAAGTAGGGAAGTCCATTTGGGATTCAGATCCGCCATGTCTAGCTGGCCTCGGGCACAGCTTGTGATGAGACGAAGCACCCTGGCAGGATACATGATGCTGGCAAGCCACCGATTCTGTCACAAACGGGCGTACGGTCTCCATGGCGCATAAGAACGACCACCTGCGACGTGACAAGAGCAGATAGAAGGGTCATGGCTCTACACCGACACGAAATTTCAGCACAAGATGCGTGGCCGCCTTCAGCGGGTTCTTTGCAAGATCAGGCGGCTTCAGTGTTGGATCGAAGGCTGTCACCGGCGCAGCAGTATCACCGCCAGTGCTCCTCAAACATCGCTTGTTCGCAAAAGCTGCGCTGAAATACCATCCACATGCCAGCTCTTTTGGCATCTGCATTTGATATACACTTCTGCGAAGGTCTTGCACTGCTAAGGCGGTCACCGGCATATCTTTCGGGGAGGACCACATCCTTGCTGCCTTGTCTCTTTCATGGTGCTGCCGTTTTTCTATACTCCCCTTAGAACCTTAATAAAAATATCATTTTTAATATACTCTTGGGATTTATCTGAACAAAACATAGAGAATAATACCCCAGAGGGATATAGTTTTTGGCATATCGCAGAGCATCCCTCAGAACTTTGTGCAACTGAGATGCGCGTCTTGACTTCTCTCGTCGTACTGGTGAGGTTCATCAACCACCCGCTTCTTCACGTCCGCCCCCATTGCATCCATGAGGGCTTCAACTCTACCGTAACACGAACGCGTTACAGTACAAACCTTTGGTTTGCCATTTGAGTGCGGGCAAGTCTGAAAATGTCTGAAACAGCAGCCTGAGATGCAAAAACTCTCCGGGTGCCGCGAAAAAAAAACTTCAGCAAAGGTCAATGCCCTCGTCACTCCGACTGACGCTCCACAGGTGCCTGTGGAGTCGCGTCTCTCACCCTCAAGAGCTTCTCTATGCAGATTGCCGCGTAGGTATGCACCTCGAAGCGAGTCTTTGCAACACGACAAGCGAAAAAGACAAAACAACTTGGGATGCTCCCCCAATATGCTAACACAGTACTTTGTAGGGATTATAATACGGGGTACCCGATTAAGGACTGTTAGTAGGGGAACATCCCAACAAACAGCAAACCTTTTTTGGGAAAACTGGGCATTGAACCACTGGACTCTCAGAGGCAATGTGGCTGCCTCGGCAGCCAAGTTCAACAAAGATGCCGTCAAACAAGTCCCAAATATTTATAGCTTCGTATATATATATGTATATATATATATGAACATATATATGTATGAATACATATCATATATATATATAGGAAATTTCCATACATACACATACATATACGTATGTGTGTATGCATGCTGCAAAGCACCGTGGTGCCAAGCTTCCGACAAATTGCAGGCAATACTTGACCTGGAAGTGCCCCAAGCATGCGGAAGTGCATGTTCTACAAGGGCCTCTAACAAATTCTGTCGAGTCCTAGTACCGAGCCAACTTGCTCTCTGGGAAGCTGGTTTCTGAAGACCGTCACGAACCTGGGCATTGCGCAGCTTGCGCTAGGAAATGTCGGAGCATGCCCCACTGCATGAGCAAGCACGAAACATAGGTTTCTGACTTCAAACACGAAGCTCGTAGAACTGATCGCTGGGACTGCCACGTGCACATCAACATTCTCTGCTGCATCTCTCCCATGCACACAATGAGAAATGCGGAGGGCAGGGTTCACGATGCTCTCCATGTATGTTATGAACTGCTATGAAGTGCTATGAAGTGCTATGAAGGTTCGGATCTGCTTTCTCACTCATGCTGGCTCCCACCAGCGGCTCCGCAGTCAGCTCCGGCGCCACCAGGGATGTGAAAAAGTGAAGCCTCGCACGAACATCTGCACCCTAGCCATCTCCAAATCGCTAGTCGTCAATGTTGGGCCCAAGGTTGCCCACCTTCTGCTAGTGACGAGCGTACTTAGGTGCATGTACAGATCGTGACTGAACTGAACCGATAAGCTCAATGATGCTTTGCTCACTCCAACAGTGGCTGCAAGAACAGTTCTGCAAATCTTGGTCCATGCCAGAAAGTGTTCGAAAATAGAGTGGGGCCGCATGCCAATGGCGCAAGCGGTCCGCTGGCGTGCGACCAAGGCACACATTGACGTTCTGGTTCGTCACTGTGACACCTCTCCACAATCAACTCAAATATGAACTTCTGTGTGCGCACCCATCAAGTCTTCGGCTGCAGAGTCCACACCCCTGAGCCTCTGAAAGTGTTGGTTCATAGTCGGCACTTTCGTTTCAAGTGGGTCGAGACAAGACAGAGCTGAAAGACGCCGGGCATCTGCGGACTGAGTGACCGATGACGTAGCTGTTTTGAGCCCTTTTGCACATAACCCTAGTGTCCGCAGATTCCCTCAGTTCAGAACATGCGTCTTGCATGCGGTCATGCGCGCTCGGGTGCGTGGATTTGACCGTGTCCTTTGTCATGTTTCCGTTGCTTGACACTATGCGTGAATTGTCGCTGCACGTGCGACTTTTCCACACAAATGAGCAGGGAAGCAGTGATTCCTTTTGCGCACGTTGCCCAGCGAAGACCGTACCATTGGAACGTGACATTAAGAAGGGACCGCCTTATTACGCACCTGTTCTTCGAATCTTGTCTGACCCAGGACGAGGCGGCCGTTCGGCAGGGTTTGTTTAGGGTTGAGGGTTTAGGGTTTCGGGTTTCGGGTGTAGGGTGCCACGCCCGACCCGGCCTTCTCTTTGCGTTTGTTCCCGCACCGCCATGGCAATGCACAGAAAGATGCAAGCATCCTCAACGGATGCACGCCACCCAGAGACTCCACAACCCCTTAATGAAGGAGTATACCTTGAATCATATTAGGGTTCCTATCATATTTTTAAGGGATATTCGTTAATTAGGAATATACCTTAAGTCATATTAGGGTTCCTATCATATTCTAAAGGGATATTCCTTAGTTAAGGGGTTGTGGAGTTTCTGGCCATCTAAGGACACGCGACGCAACTGGGTTTAGGGTTTAAGGTAAGCCCCCAAAAATTCGCTCATTTTCATGGATTATGGGCCCTTTTGGGTACCTTAACAAAGAAAGCCCCATGTGATACCAAGACCCCCCAAACGAAGTGCACAACCCTGATACATAAACCCCAAACCCTAAACTCTCCTGAACCCTGAATCCTAAACCCTAAACCCTAAAACCCTAAACCCTAGCTCTCCTTGAAGCGCTCTGCCTGCCCGCCACCGGCTGAGGCAGCCTCACGGAGGGTTTCCGAAAGTGGGGAGGTACGGTGGTACCCCTTGTTGGGGATTCCTAGAATAAGGTTTAGGGCTTTTGGGGTTACCCAATGTTGGGGATTTCTGGAAAAAAGGTTTAGGGCTTTGGGGTTCCCATGTCGGGATTTCTAGAATACGGTTGAGGGTTTTGGCTTGAAGGTGGCTCGTGGATGCTCATGGAGGGTTGCAAGGCGGGCACTGGTGCTGACCGCACGCGCCCCCCCCCCCCCCCCCCCCCCCCCCGCGTGCGCTCCACCCTCGTCCTGACCTTTGAGGGTTTAGGGTTCTCTTACTTGTTGATCGCGGTCATGTTTGTCACTCGCATTTGAGCTGGGGAAGTGCATGCTATTGGTCTCTACACAGGACGTCTGGAAGCGAATCTTTTCGACAGTTTAGCTTTGGGGTTGGCTCGAAGCCTCGAGATCTCGGGTTTGGCATTTGGGGGGTTTGGCCCAACGCGCCTCGGGTCCTTAGCAGGGCGCGGCTTGCATCCAGGGACAACGCAGGCTTTGTTGGGGAGGGCCCGCGTATGCCCGCGTGACGCGCGTGACGTTCAACTCCAGAGGCCTTGGGATCTCGACGTGTGCATGGTGGCTTGTTGCATCTAGGGACAGCTAGCTGTGGCTTTGGGCGGGCGTTCCCCCAAGCCCAGGCTTCGGGTTTCCCTGAGGAGCGCTGCCTTGGGACGGAGCCTCTGGAGGCCCTTGAGGCTCTTAACCTGGATCGCGGGTTTGGCGTTGCGGGGTTGGTTCGAAACGTCTCCAGCTTGGAAAGTGACAATGTAGGCCTTTGTTGGAGGGCTCTACATCACGGACGAATGCACGGAAGCCAGCAGGTGATGGCGACGGAGCTCTCAATCCCGCAAGCAGCTGCCGGCTGCGTGGTGGACTCGTCAGGTCACCCTAGCATGAGGTGCCCCAAACCTTCGGGCAGGTCGCAGAATCCCTCCTACATCCCCACGGCGGTCTAACAACACAAGGACTTGCAGGGGGTGCTTTAGGGCACACCTCATCTTGGGGATTACGGGGACCCAAATGGGGGTTCCCATTAAAGATTAGGGTTGGAGAATGTTTTTTGGCCACATGAAGCTCTCAGACTTATTGCAAGCTTGGCATGACGTGTCCACGCAGAACTCTGCCAGCCTTGTCCATCAGTGCTTTCACGTAGCCGATCAGTATTTCGGTTACCTGCGCTCGCAAGCCAAAATCTCTAACTCTCTCTCCCTCTCTCTCTCTCTCTCTCTCTCTCTCTTCACTCTCTTCATCTCATTGAAAAACACAGACACACACACACACACATGTTCACAAGATATGCTAAAAATGGGTCGCAAGAGGTCATAACATGTTTAAGCCCTTCTCGCCCGGCAAGGCACCTTGGCTTCATTGAGTCGACCCATCGCCTCGCTCCGTGCAAAAGCGACGCGGCTGCAAAGCAGGCCGCTCGGCACACGCTGAGGCACAGAGGCAACATTCGCTGTGCTGTGCCTTGACTAAGTCCATGGAGCTGCGTCTTCTGGTCTCCTGGAGAGATTGCAGCAGCTCTACCCCATATGGTGAACATATGAAAACAGTAGGTTCAACGGAAGATCCTGGTCAGCTGCTTCCATATCCCGCCTCACGTACCTGCGCTCGGTTCTGCTGAAGGCAGCATGCATCATACTCATCCTCCATGTGGGCCAGTAGAAGCCAGCGAAAAAGGTAAGACGCTGACTCCAAAGGGTTGTCTTCGAACAGCTCGACATCCGAGTCTCGAAGCAAGACATTTGGGAACACCACCTGGCTCTAGCATCAATGGCCGACAAAGTGGTAGCACACATGTAGCTTCCAAGTCTTCTTCTGTATGCTGCAACCTCAGGACGAAATCTTCCAGTCCGTGATCCGCCCGTGGCAATGTGGAACAGTCGATGGTGTTTTGGAATGCACAACCCCTCTGCCTTCTCGCAAATGCCGGAGAGAACATTGGGGTCCTTGCATGAAGAGTCTCAACCGGCCCTTCCGCACGTCAACTTGTAAAAGAACAGTCAATGCCAATGCCTTGAATCTGAAACTCTACATACAGCAATTCCTCGAACGGAGACTGGGGCCACTGTGTTGCTGCGGTGGACCTGGCTTGTCTTCAACGGTAGCTGTCTGCAAAGGCCTGGAAATGGCTGGAACGGCTACCACCTGCACTCACCACAATGCTAGGCTGCCGACGACAGAAACTGAATGCCCTTGGCAACCAGCTGGTCATTCTTCTCCTTGCGGAACTCTTTTTCCCAGATCTCGCAAGATCTTGCAACTCTTGGGCCTGCTGGTCCAGGCCGACGAGTAAACTCCAGACCTGTGCACGCGATAAGTCGGCAGTGTGCCTGGACTTTCTGCTACATTTAGCTTGTCAGATAGGCGGACCTCCTTGACACAAGGGAGCAAGAAAGGCATGAACCTTGGACATCTCATGCTTTGTCTTCGCGCGGCATCTGGAGAGCAAAGCTGCATGTAAAAGCAACTTGAGAACCTGGCTCCTCTTGATATTTGTCCTCGGTTCAGGTCATCTTAAGATCCAACTGATAGAAGCAAAGCACGTCAGCTTTCAACAAGGGCAGGGATTCTCCGCTGAGCATCCGCGTAGAGCACAAGGCACTCGCAAATGGCCCCCTTCACCTGGATAGCAGCGCATTGAACCATCGAGACTTGATAGCTTGGACCGACTTCCCTTCGGCGCCTGTTCAAGGAGTCCCTGCTGGTCTTTTCCAGCCACGGCCTGATCCAGATTCTTAGCATGCACAAAGCTTCCTGAGCAAGGTGCACCAAATGTGCATCAATGTGCATCAATGTGCATCAGCACACCACAATCGCAGGATCCCTTCACCGCCGCCCCCGAACGCACCTCATGCTGGAATTTCAGCAATTCAAGGAAGCCTCTGAAGTATTCCTGAAGCCGCATGTGTGGGCCGAAATGTCGGCCGCACGTGGGCCGCAAGGGACACAGAGCAACCCCCGAGTTTCCTCTCTGTGATCCTCAAAGAACTCTGGAAGGTCTATGACATTCATGGAAAAGAACGCACCTGGTTGCCAGCATCTCGGATACACGGAACATGCCCAGGACCAGTTCATGGCTTGCCAAGCGAGCTGACGGCGAGAAAAAGGTAAGCTCAGGGCCTATGGTTGCTAAGAGGAGCTCAAAATGAGAAACCAGCCTCAGACAGGCACTTGCATGCCGCCTAAACCCTGAACCCTCAACCCCAAACCCTAAACTCTAAACCCTAAACCCTCAACCCTCAACCCGAAACCCGAAACCTTAAACCCTAAACCCCCAAAAACCCTAAACCCGAAACCCCAGATGTTGATCCACTTTGACACAGCAAGGCATCGGTCTGAGGCGCCCTCTGATCTGCAGGCATTGAGGCCCCTCCCAGAACTTGCCTGCAAGTGGCCTCAGTGCGGGAGACTGAAGACTCCAAAAGAAGACCACAAGGACACTACAAGCACCCTACACCCTAAACCCTAAACCCTAAACCCTAAACCCTAAACCCTAAACCCTGGGAGGTGCGCCGTGAAGACCGCAAGGTGTGTCTCCTGAAAGCCCTCCACAGTGTACCTGAGAGTTGATGAAGTTTAGGGTTTAGGGCGAAGGGCTTAGGGTTTAGGGTTTAGGAGAGTTGAACCAATGCTTTGAACGAATGCCCCTGCACCCAGACCCAGCCCAACTCGGCAAGCGCACTTGACCTCCCTCAGCAGGTCTTCAGATCTCGCCTGTGCCCGGAACCTTGGCATCAGTCTTGGAACCGCTGCACTTTAGGGGTTTAGGGTTTAGGGTGCAGAGTTTAGGGTTTAGGGTTTAGGGTTTAGGGTTTAGGGTTTAGGGTTTAGGGTTTAGGGTTTCGGGTTTAGGGTTTAGGGTTTAGGGGTTGACATGCTCAAAACAAAAAGGGAGCTACCAATCCAAGCCCGGCACTTTAGAAACACGGTGTGCGCTGTCTGCATGGTCCCCTTTAAGACAGACATGTCCTCGCTGCGCGACTTTTGATCGACATTCCCAAGTCATAAGACAGGCAGGCAGAAGACTGCCCTAAACCTTAAACCCTAAACCCTAAGCCCTAAACCCTAAACCCTAACCCTAAACCCTGAACTCTAAATCTACACCCCTAAACCCTAAAGCCATTGCCTCTCTGGGTCTCCCTGTGAGCCTGTCCTGCGACGTCTTTAGGTGCTGTACAATCTCAGGCAGGAGAGACTGCCACTCCTTAGCCAAATGGTTCTGCGTCACGGACAAAAAGTCGCAGGCACACCTTGTGTCAACAGCCATTTTGGGCATGAACTGACGGGTAGTCAGTGATGGAAATCTCCTCCAAGCCCGCAGACAGCTGAACCTGTGACAGGTCCAAGCAGCTACCGGGCACTACCGGGCACGCCAAAGTGCCTTGCCGAAAGGAAAGCACAACTCCACAACACAACAGAAGCTGGGGCACCCCTCTCAGAGTCAACACCCAGACTTCCCCACTTCCCCCCGCTTATCTCGCAAGTCCGGCCACCCGGCCTGCACCTGTTTAGGCGCTTGGAGCATAAGCGAGAGAATGTGCTGCTTGATGGCCTTGTCACACTGTTGCTGTACTTTACGAAGCATACAGTAACACTTACGTCGCTTGTCCATTCAGCAGCAGAAAGCAACATCAAGGAAACCCTGTTAGGCGTTGCCAGCTCAAGTCGCCGCACATGTCTAACGAGTACTGGAATGTCGTCACACGCCCGAGCATCAAAGCTTGCCACTGGGCCTGCCGGTCGGACGTTGAGATGCCACCAGCGCCCTCGACGCACCTCGAGGGTCCGACACTTGCCTTTAAATAGAGTTTAGGGTTTAGGGTTGAGGGTTTAGGGTTTAGGGTGATCACTTGCACCTGGCACCATGCGACATTCATTCTGCAAAGCCGACTGCCCCACAGCCTAAGGTCGCCGCCACTGTCGCCGGATGTAGTTCTTGAAATAAATGGCTCCGGCTTGCCTGCATCATTCGAGCACTTCCCCCCCCTGAGAGTGATATGCTCCGCCAGAAAAGGAACATTGAAAAAACCTTGATGCGAAGGTGTTGAGATGGAGCATCGCTCTGCGCACGTCTCTAGGCCTAGCAGCCACTTCCACGCTGCCGGAGCGTAGAAGCTCTAGAAGAACCAAGCCGAATCTGCCACAGATTGCTCAGGCGAACGGAAGTCACGCGCACCAGCAAGGCACACCCAGCACACTTTTCTGACCGGCGTAGAAAAACGCAACTGCTCATGGCCCACTTTCCACTGCACGGCGCGCCCGGGCTGTACTTCGGCTGTTCGGAGCTGCTGCTCTGCCACTTTCATTGCCTCCGAGTTTTGCATCTCAATGTAACAAACTGGTTCATGGAACATACCCTAGTTCTACCTGCACGTGTGGCCTCCATGTTGCCTGCCACAGTCTGTGTCAAGAGCTGTGCAAGCTGCGCCATCTGCTCCGGACTCGCTGCCATGCCTGGCACAAAACACACTGACGCAAAGCTACCCATAATTGTGCCTTCGAACACATATTTGCACGCCATCCCGACACAACGTGATGAAATGGCACAGGCCTGGCAGCAGAGATCCGTGGCTTGGTATCTGAGTAGAATGCTATATCTTGGCTGCCTGCGCACTGCCTTCTTGGTAGGTGGGGTGCTTTTGGCTCTAAAGCCAGCGAACGGAGATAGTTGGGTCAGGGTGGTCCACTTCGGTATGACCATGACGACCGTCCCGTCCAAAAAATGAACAGAAAAGTGTCGAAATCTGGCTATTTGACCGATGTGCTGGTGAAGAAGCTTGAGCCAAACGGTGTGACCATCCGACCATGCATACGGAAAGACTTTCTGACATGCTTTCGGTGCAAGTGCAGCTGGTACAACGCGACATCCGCATGGTTCGACTTCGAAGCTCCAAAACGCTTCGCAGCCTTAGGCACGGGTGTGCGGAAAAGGTCCACCGCGGGAAAGCTTACCTGTGGTTTCGGGGAAGGGGTGCGCCGAGATGACACACTCTGCTTGTCAGGTTCTCCCTTTGGGGTAAAGGGATTCGGGGTAGGGAGCTGGGGGTTCAGACGAAGGTCCAAAAGGGGAGCGAGTTCTGAGTCGGCTGTTCAAAACGGTGGCGGGCAGCTGGGCTCGTTCAATGCCACCCCCCTTGGAATTCAATCCCACGAAGGTCAATCCGCAAAAACGTCTGCAGCCCTGGCAGTGAAAACGATTTGTTCTCTTCTGAAGAAGGTGAGTCCAAAAGCCTGAAGGCAAAGCCACATGGCGTTTGGCGAACATCATGGAGTGACCTTCCCTACTTCTGAGGGGGAGTGACTAAGGCAGGACAGGCTGCAGCTTGAAGGTTTTGGGCAATGCAGAGGAAGAGGACACCTGACCTAGCTTCACATGCATGCAAAACACACGAGAACATAAATAGCAACGTTTACATGCCATGTATTTCTACCAGTGCGACCTCAAAGCATGAAGCAAAGCTGTGATATGTAATTGTTACACACCGCCAGCTCGAAGACAAAAATGTGCACGCATGAATCCTGCAGTTTTTTTTCGTTTGTACCACTACGTGGTAGACTTGTGCGAAGTTTGCTCCGCACAAGCTCTGACAATACGTGTGTCCAGACACCACACAACCCACCGGTGCTCCGCTGCAGCCAAAGCTCGAAGCTTTGTGGTGCACACATCTTTTATTGTGGTGTGAAACCAAAACCTCTTGTTGCCGGATGAGACCAAATCCACGTTGCGGGCCCGCAGGTCGATCAGAGCACGCCATTGCAATCTCAATGACGCTGCCGCGATGGTCGCAGGAGTCGAGCATCCACAGGAAGGGTGCGGTTGCAGTTCCGAGCGGGCAACATGTTGAGCTTTTGACTTTTTCGTCGTCATTCTGCGCTGCTCTCAGTCGGGTTCGACTTACCATAAGCGGAAGCTTCCACAGGCAAAAATCATACAAGCTGTGTCCTTCTCCAAACGACTCAATTAAGCTAAGAGCCTTGAGACATGCCGACGATTGTCCTCGGCAGAAGGCTACACGGCTTGCATTCACTAAGTCACCGGGAGTCCGCCCGCGACCTGAAGCCGAAAGTTTAGGGTTCAGGGTTTAGGGTTTAGGTGTTCAAGTTCGGAAAGCCTTCACTGCTACGCTGAAGCTCCACTGTTTTTGCACCTGCGTCTGCAGTTGTCCCATTAGCGAAGCCACCTTCGGCTTTGCCGGCGGCGGGAGTGGTAGGGTGGGTCGCCTTGAGATCGGCATCCTTCACGTTCACACCTATTGCTGCAGGTGTTCAAGTTCGGAAAGCCTTCACTGCTACGCTGAAGCTCCACTGTTTTTGCACCTGCGTCTGCAGTTGTCCCATTAGCGAAGCCACCTTCGGCTTTGCCTCCGCCACCACAGCTCCACCACATGCGGATGCCGATCAACCGCCGGCAAAGTGAGAAAACCAAAACCTGGTCGGAGTCCGTGCTTTCTGAAGCCGCTCGGCCACGAGCAGCACCAGCTTGAAGTTGTCAACTGAAGCAAAGACCTTGAGCCTGGCCTGCTCAGACAGCCTATGCACAAACTGTAGTGAAGAAATCTCCTGCACGTATATCTCCATGGTGCGGGCATTCAGCCACCTGCCGCGGCGTCTCACTAGCTCTGAGTCTTCCGAGGCCTGAAGCAGCCAGGTTGCACCGCCTGCACGTAACGACCCCAAATCAAGGCGTTTGCTACCTTGATCAGCCCAACGGTCAGTGCCAAGCCGCTGCATGAGCTGATCAAAACGGCTCCTAAGAGTCGAAGCTGAAAACGGCCAGAGCTTTGATCCAGGCTCCAGGTCAGCAAAAGCCAAAGTGACGACGTCCAGGAGGTCGGGCTGGTCCAACTTGGCAGCCTGGTGTCTCGCAGCCTTAAACCTGGTCTTAGGCTCGCGAATCGAAACCATGCAGCACTGCATGGTCCCCCAAACGTCTCCGGGGAGGAGCAGGTCGCACCTCCTTGCAGCCAGCGTCTCACCAGCGCGCATCACAGCGCCCCAAGTTAAAGCCAAACAGCCAGCTACCCTGACCCAGCCCCACATGAGCGACGTCGTAATCGCCGCAAGCAAAACCTGCCATGGCAAAGCAACATGGTGAGAATGAGGTTCTTCACGCAGCCAGGAAAAAGCAAGATCCCACGCAGGTTGCAAACTCCTCCTGATGGCAGGTTCCTTCGACGCTACAGCATTTATGACTTCGGAGTAGTGACTGTACGGCCAGCCTGCCTCGAAAAGCTGCCTACCGTAAGAAATCAAGAAGCCGTTCAAGCGTCTCGTGCTCTGTGGCGCCAGGTCAAAGAGGCTCTCGAAGACGACGTTCTGGCGTAGAAGCCACTCGGTGAAGGCAGCCAGGAGCTTGTCACGGCGCTTCTGGGTCACAGGTTCAACAGGACGCCCCTCTGCCAACACAACAGTGGACCTGGCTAGAGAGCGCTCTCGGTCAGCAGCATGGCGAGGGCGCAAAACATGGCTCGATTCTTCTACAGCAAGGCAGCAAACCCCGAACCACCAAAGAACCCAGAAAACCCTGAAGAAAGGACCCTCACCAGGGAACCCAAGAGTGGAGTCGAAACCACGGCTTGCAACGTGGTATGCACGCCAGCCCAAGGAGGGCCGAAAGGAAGGAGGTGGACCTGCAACGAGGCAAACCAGCCTAACCCAGTTAGAAGCCCACCTGCGCAGCTTGAGGCCTGAAAGGCCTTCATACAGCTCGTCAAGCGAAAGTCTACCCCAAAAGCTTGAGTCACAAGGTTCAGGCAAATGAAGGTCTCTCGTAGGGCAGTCTCCAGGGTTAAGGCGGGTGGGGACGTAGTGAAATGCTGGCAGGAGTCCAGAAAGAAGGCAAAGGGCAGCGATCTTGCGGAGGATCGGCGTCAGGCCTTTAGAAGGGCTGCGCCCTTTTGCGCAAGCATGAAAGGCAACGGATGAATCAACGAGGATAACAACCCGTCGAGGACCTCGCACCGCAAGAGCCTTGATAAGGCGGTGAATGGCAGCAGTCTCAAGGATATTGATGTGGGCTGTGGCCCGCCAACACCAATCGTCACCGCTAAGCCATCGAACTGACAACACAACATCATTCAACACGGGATTCTCAAGCCCTTCAGGCTTCAAAGCCTGAAGGGAGCGAACATGTGACACCCGACGCAGGGCTCGATCAAACTCACAAGCAAGAGCCTTGACAAGAAGAGGAGGGAGAAAAGCATCATCGGGATGTTGCCGGGGGCCGGACTGCACACAAAGGCCTCCGCGGCAGCAAGGCACCGAGAGCGGTGTAAGGTCGAGGCCAAAAACAAGGAACTTCCAGCCCTTGCAGCACAGACCTTGAAAGGCACAGGCACAAGTGCCCACGAATCGGGCCCCGAAACGCAACAGCAGATGCCACTCAGGCCCGGTAACGAAACCTGGCGAGTCAGGACGCACGATCACAGAAGGAACGCCGCATTGCACTGCAGAAGAGAGAAGCGCCAGATGCCGCCGTAACACGCGAGTCGCGCGAACCTCACGCGCAGAGGATGGCCGAGAAAAGCCTGGGTTTGGAGAGCACCGACTCTTTCGTGGGGAGAAAGCAGCAGCCGGTGGAGACAGCAGTAGACTCTTAAGCTTTCGGTGCTGTAGAAGGTGAAGAATCCACTCAAAAGTCCGGCTGTTCATGATGTCATAGGCGACGCTGACCCGAAAATCAAGAACAGGCCCAACAGAACGGCCCATCGACCGCAAGAGCTCAGAGACAGAGCCGCCCCGTACTCCAACCTCGACGAAATCGAAGTGGTAAGCCAATGGCCGAGATGGCGAAGGACAGGTTGCAGGCGCCAGCATGCGAAGATCAATGGGCTCACGGTCGTCCAGCCGAACAAGGATTGCCTCCTCCTTAGAAAGCAGCCTGCTGTAGCCTCCACGCTTCGAAGCAGTCCTCCACAACGGACGAACAAGATCGGTCCCTACATGTGCGGTCACATAGCCTCCCTTGGCCTCCGAAGCATCGGTCGCATATATGCAGGGGTCAAAGAGGGAAGTCAAATCAACCGAAGCCAGAGGGCACAGAACGCTGGCGAGGACAAGCTCCTGGGCGGCCTGCCGGGGCAACACGCAAAGAGTCGGACGGCTCGGTTTGGAGGAGCCTGTGCTTGCGACCCCATACACAGCAGAGAAGATAGCCATCAACGGCCGGCGGAAAAGGGCGCAAGAAGTCCAGCTGCCGACAAGAGACAACCACAGAGCATCCGTCACCAAGCCAAACCGGGCAGCCTCAACCGAAACGGCAGCAAGGGCAACTCGTTTAGCAGCGGGAGAAGCAACGGTGACAGTGCCAAGACGGCGGGCGTGCTCTGACGAATTGATTTCTGCTCCAGCAATCTTCGCAAAACAAGCGCCAACGATGTCCTTGCTGTCCGAGCCTTCAAGAGACTCGTGCGCATAGATGCTTTTAGCACGCGAGAGGTGACGCAGGCACTC